TTACAAAATAATTTTGTAAAATTTTGTAATGAATATTTTGTAAATAAAGTTACGTTTAGCTACAATTTCCCATTTTCCCTATGTATGGTGACTTTTATGATACCTTGTATATCTTAAGTGGAAACTTTTTTTTTTTAATTTTAAGGCTTTAATGAGTCCTATCAAAACATGTTTGTGTAAAATAAGGTAGCTCAAGGTCATTTTTCCTGATCATGTACACAGCCTGCCCTCTAGTGTTGCTTTCTTAAACCCTAACAAATTGTAGACCATACTCTTAATCTCAAAATGTTGGGTTAATAGGATTAGAAACTGTGTCATCAAATTAATAGAACAAAGCTAAATCCCTGACACGGAAAATTAAAGCAGAGAAAAGTGAAGGTTCTTCCAGAAGCTGGTGGCAACTTCACAGGGGATATATTGCAAAGTCAGTGGTAAATACACTGTATTAAAAAGTTTCATTTGGTAAGTAGGGTGTTAATAAAGAGGGAAGTTAGTTGAAATGATCTATGTAAAATGTAATAACTATGTAACTACTAGTACAATTGTTATTTTATTATAGTATTAGAAAGACATTCTAAATGTTGATTAAATAATGGAGATTTTTGGTTTTTAAAAAATAGCAAATATACATAAAGCAAATAAAGATCTCCTTTGGGGGAAATTAAGATCATCTCGCTTACATTACAGATTTAACTCTATTAAAGTATACAGTTGTTCTCATTTATTTAACTTTTCTTTGTAAAGTTTTAAACCCTTGTATCTGGAATATTTTAAACTAATATATATCACATTAAACTTAGAAGGAAATTTATCTGAGAAGAAAAACGTGTGTGCACTGTATAGCGTGATGGGTTTTATAAGGAGTATGAGAAAAATGTGTGAAGCTGTTTCCGCTCTCATAAAAAAATAAGTAGTGAATCACCCTAGGTAAAAACTCACTTAAGGACTAAGAATTTTGGAGGGAAAAAAAAAATCCCTCTAACATAGTCTAGTTAATTCTGTGTTTAGAGATGTTTGCTGTTGGCGGGGAAATAAAATTCGGTTTGGGCTCTACGGGGCTGCGACGCACACTGTCCCTCGCCTTGAATTTCGAGTACTTCAGATGCTGACCTTGTTTAACTGTCAAGAAGAATGTAAACTAATAGGGACTCGGGTTTGTTTGTTTGTTTGTTTGTTTAACTTACATTTCAAGCTTCCTTATGTCTCAGGCACATTAGCATAAGTTGTCTAAAGTCATAAAGAAACATTGACACAAAAATGCTTTGGAGCACCATGTGTTTTCAATTGATGCCAACCGACACTAACCTAATGGAAGTCATTTGATGTGGGTTTATTTTTCCTTTGCAGTAACAGCGGGAACATGAAGCCGCCACTCTTGGTGTTTATTGTGTATCTGCTACGGTTGAAAGATTGTCACTGCGCACCTACTTGGAAGGATAAAACTGCCGTCGGTGGAAACCCCAAGAGTATGTTGGTTTCTTATCTGTGCTGTGTCCTGTTTGCACGTTGGCCTGTGCTGCTGGCATTTACAGTGAGCTGCAGTTGACGGATAACCACATTCACTGTGCTTCATGGCGAAGCGTTCTCTAGGCACTCAAATGGAGTCGTCATGATGCCAAACATCTGGATAAAAATGGAAAATTCCAATCAAGTCTCTGCAAGCGTTCACATTTCCAGATGTTTGTGTCGTGTAGATAAAACTTGCCAACTTTTTGACTGCATTTTTTTGTTATCGTCCAGATGGTTGGTGTCATCTCAGTACGGCTTTAATGAACAGTGAAATACTTTTCTAGCATTTGAAAAATTTAAACAATTAGAGTAATCTGTGTAATTATTCTTAAGCTAGTGAAAAAACGGGTTATACATAATTTCACTGAATCTGGTTGTTCTGTGGTCATTAACTTGCAACCTGTGCTTGGTGATATATGCTTTAGGTACTTGACACTTAGGAGATAAGTTAGCTAAAACATAGCTCACTTGGGGTCTATAATTAAATCCAGAGGCAAGAGTAAGCTCCTTAGCAGGCCACATTGGCTATTGTGAAGTGAGAATGACAATGAATTTTTTATTAAAGGTGTATAAGGGCTAGGCATGCTGGCTCCCACCTGTAATCCCAGCACTGTGGGAGAATGAGGCAGGAGGATCACTTGAGCCCAAGAGTTCAAGACCAGCCTGGGCAACATAGCGAGACCCCTATCTCTGCAAAAATTTTAAAAATTAGCTGGGTGTGATGGCGCATACCTATAGTCCCAGCCACTCCAGAGGTTGACGCCGGAGGATCGCTTGAGCCCAAGAGCTCAAGGTTACAGTGAGCTATGATCCTGCTACTGCACTCCAGCCTGGCTGACAGAGCCAGATCCTGGCTCTTAAAAAAAAAAAAAAAAAAAAAAAGGGTGGTGTATGAGAGACACCCACTAGGTTATTAAGGCATCTCATATTATACGAGATACTTTCTAGATTTGATGCCTCCGTGGAAAGTAATTGAAACTGAAATAAAATTGTTCACTGTGTTTGATATCCCCATCTGGGCATTTATAATAAATTGTTTGTGAAGAAAATTTAAAATTTTCTCTAATATAAACACACTTAAGTTAAAGAAATAAGTGGATAAATGAAAACAGGGCCTGAGGAAAAAGACGAGAATGAGGTTAAGTGATCTCTGACTCGTTTGGGAGCTCACGGGCGAGGAACAGAAGAATTGTCCACGTGGCAGCTGACAGCTAATTTATTATGCTCTGCTTTCAGAGTATGAGGCTATGAAAGAACAATTAAGCCTCTATTTAGGGGACAGGAAAGATTGATGAACTCCTTGTTTTGTAATATGGTCAGGTCTCAAAGAAAAAACTGCAATGTGTCTTTCAGGTTTTTCTGAGGCCGGGGAGATAGACGTGGACAAAGAGGTGAAGGCGGCCTTGATTGGTATTAAACAGATGAAAATCATGATGGAAAAAAAAGAGGAGGAACACACCAATCTAATGAAAACCCTGAAGAAATGCAAAGCAGAAAAGCAGGTACAGTAATTAAAAATAATATCTATTCTTAAACAGATCTGGACCATAAATACTGCACTTGTTAGTGCAATTGATGAATTACTTATTTTTCCTAATAATATATTTTCTGGAGAGCTGCTTTTATTAGAGGAAAAGTTTGAAGGAAACTTCACATTTCTTCAAAGAACCATGTTCCTTGTAGAATAGGCCTTTACAGGACTCCAAACCCAGGAATCTGCAGAATTCATCTCTGAGAAGTGCCACTGTCTCAAAAATACTTTATTCTTAATCCTTTCTGAGTTAGGATATTAAGTCAGAAGTATTCAGGGAGTTTTTGGCCAGATTAGTGGTCTCCAAAGTTTTTGATCTGTCAACCCTATTATGAAAAAAAAATTGTTAGCACTCATCCCTATCTATATGCATATTAATTTATTTATAAATTAGATACATGAATTGCTATTAATATCTCAAGGCATGATAGACATTTGGGGTGAGATTCATCGTCAGGATGGATATAAATCCATATTTCACATAATCTTCTAGACATTTTGAAACTTTTAACCAACTTGCCAAATCTGATTACTTTGTCACATGGCACATAAAGAGCTCATGGCCAGCCGTCAGCTCTGTTGTTCGTATTTTGTCCACTTAAGCTTAAATTATTCATTTTTTTAATCTGCTGAGTCTTTTTTTTCTTTGTCAAGAATCTTTTTAAGCCTTCTATCTATTTAGTGAAGTTTAGTTAAAACTAGATAATAAAATCCATCAGTCCACCTGAGTCCTTTTAAAGGGCAATTCATTGCATTTGGCTTCAAGTGAACAGAGAGGGGGCCATGGCCGATGAATGCTTCTGGAATGAGGAAGGGGCCTCTCCTCCCCAGAGTCCCCACGTGCAGTCAGCCACACACAATGTCTAACATAAGCGCCTCAAGAGCGTACCAGTGTGAATTACATAATACATCAGCCTAATCCATTTTTAAAAATTCAAATAGCTTTGCTTGATAGCATTAGCCCAAACTATGTATTTTACCAACAGAGAATACATATTATATTCAAATGTCCTTAGATAGATATTAAAAATTGTTCCTATGCTACAGTATAAAGTTCAGTAACTTTCTAAACCATAGACATTGCATAGCTTGTAGTTTAATAACATTAACAATTTAACACTCAAAACAATTAAATTTTTGTTAAAGGGTTATTTTCCAACATTACCCTTAAATTAAAGAGGAAATAAAAACCATCACAAAAGTAATTTGGAAAACACTTTAAATTTTAATGTTAAGAGTAAATTACTTTCTATTTATTTTTATTTTTTTAAAAAATGTTAAATTGTGGCAAAATACACATAACATAAAATTTACCCTCTAAACCATTTTTAAGTGGACCATTCAGTACTGTTAAATACATTGACAATGTCGTACAACCAATCTCCAGAATTCTTTGCATCATGTGAAAAACTGAGTCTATACAGATTAAACAATGCCCCATTGACCCTCAGCCAATTTTTTAGTTTAAAAAAAACAATAAGTAGAAGTTCTAATATTTCCTACCTATACCTATGCCTATACGCCTAAAATTGGGGACCATCAAAGTCTAGATGGCTGCTCACATCACTTTATTTCTGCACATCATGGCCTCTGGGAGTCCATTATGCAACTGGTGTGTCAGCCTGTCACCAGACCTGTTGATGTCGCAGCCACACCTACCACCCCCGAGTCAGGCAGGGATCCTAGCAAGGAAAGCAGATTGTCTGACCAGCAGCTGCAAGCCATCCTCCCTTTTGGCAGCAATCAAAAGATTTTGAGGAAATCTAAAATAGCTCCTCATCAGAAAAATGTGGAAGCCCCTCCAGCTGGGTTCTCCCCTGGTGAGCTTCTGGGAATTGTGACACTAGATATCACTAATAGACTCTTGACACAACACATTATCACATGGAATGCTTTGAACATCTGGGTAAGCTGTTACTTTCATTTTACAGCTAAGAAAACTGGAGCATGAGATGTTAATTAACATGCTACTGAAATACTGTAACGAATGAACCCAGAGAAAGTCAGCAGAGCACGTGACTTTCTGTTTTTCTCAGTTTCCTGAGCCTCCTGGCAAGGGAAATAGAGTATGGGACTATAGAAAGAATATTCCAGTTCGGGGCAGGTCAAGTAAACAATATTGGGTCCATTCTAGCTCTGAACAATCCCAGAAACTAGTACAATTTTTATTTATTCTTAAAAACCTACTTATTGTATAAAAATTCATTGAATTATACTGTTAAGTTTAGGGCAATAAGAAAGTTAATTTTTTTTAAAAAAACCTGTTTATCCCTGAGTCTCCCTCCCTAAAATTACTTTAAACCTAGAATAAAGGTCAGTTTAGATAAATTATCAGTTGGCAAACAAGATGTTGGCACCACCATGCCTCCAGGTCCTGGGCTCCATCCATCCTCCGGTGACTCAGAGTCCTCACTGACCCCTTCCTCATCCCCTCCCTGTTACTATTTAAGTGAGAACATCTGAAACTTGCTTTTCCTAAAGTAGGAAGCCCTAGAGTAGCTTAGGGCGATTTGCCCCCGCATCAGATTTATATGGTACTTTTGATAAGCTGTGAACTACAGGAATAGAGTTTCAAGCATGGACTCCGTCAGAGGGTGGAATATTTAGCGGGAAATGGAAGGAATGGAGAGGACGTTCTTAAACCAGAGACCTAGTTCTTCCATGGCAACATTTTATTTCCAAAACTTGGGACATGTGATTTGGTAAGTGGTTTTTATTATGTTTCTGCGGGATGAATGGAAGGAAGTGTCATCATACTAATTATAACAATGTTCTGGGTGCCTTGCTTGTTCATCTTTTATGTAAAAACCTTGAGAAGGAGGTCCTGTGATTCCTACTTGCTAATAAGGAGACTAAGGCTTAGAGACACTAAGTAATTTGCTGAAGGGTACACAGTGTAGCTTGGAATCGGGAATATTAGGATTTTGATGTACAATGAGTGTAATATTTAGAATTTGGAGTGATTGAGAAAATCCTGGGGGCATTGTTGGCTGTCATGGTGAAATTACCATTCTTAAGAAGATGTAGGATTGCAAAATTGTTCTGCAAAGCTCAAGGACACACACACACACACACACACACACACACACACACACACACAAATACAAACAAACAGTCCTGTCTAGGTCACAATGTGCATTTTGGCAGGCTAGGGCCCTGCCAGTTTTCTCACGTGGTGTAGCAAATGCTATCTGGCTTAGCTGGAAATAGGACTTTCGTTTCTACTTTTAATTAAATTGTACAGTGAGGGCACCTGAAAAATCCCAGCCAGGCAGAGAAGATGTGGAAGATTGGCAGTGCCTGGGTTATTCTTTGGGCTTAATATGCCAGGAAAGGGTGATTTTTTTTTTCTTTTCCACTGGGTAAAAATGCATAATAAATTGGTTTTTAATACATAAACTCTTCTCCTGCATGCATTTTTATTTAAAGGAGTTGCCTTTAGCTCTCAGGCTGTCTTCTTATGGACGGATCCATCATACCCCTCATTCTCCTGAACCGTATCTCTGACATGGAAGGGGCCAGGCTTCAGAAGTCCACACTGGCAGGGAGACCGGGGGTCAGGCAGGAGCACAAGAAGAAAGGCCCATTGTGCTGTGGTGCCGGCCTGCAGGGAACTCCAGGAGAGGGCAGAGGCCCGCAGGGACAGGTGCCACTGCTGCTGGGTTCCTTCCCACCCCAGCAGGACCTGGCCAAGTTTAGCAAGCACCCCAAAGTGGAGTGCTCGAAACACTGACAAGAAAAATGAAGATGGTCCAAAGACGGCATTTCTGCAATTAGAATGTAACTCAATGGGGAAATTTGATTTGATATACAAGAATAGCACTTTCTTACAATGTTTAAGAACATCTAACAATTAAAGTCAGCATAAATGAAAGAAATAAAATATGTCAGCTTTATGAACTTTAAAGGCCAACTTCCAATCTCCCACGAACTAGACATGAAGACAGACAAGTCGACAAGCAAATCACAGTTGTTCCCCAGATGGGGATGGCGTCTTCATTGTGGGCTCACCCACGTCTAGTGTAACGCCTGTCACACAGCAAACACTCAATAAATACTTCTCGAAAGAATGAACAGATGAATAAGATTTGCAGTCTCCCACAGGGATCAGTCAGTGCTCTTAATCAAACAGAAAGCATTAGCGACCTGTCAGCTGCCAGGGGTCTGAATGAAAAAGACTGAAGAAATAGTTTAGAAAATACACATTTCAAAGGGTCAAATCAATTAAGGTCTGCATACAATCATGAGATGGAAATAGGACTTTTGTTTCTACTTTTAATTAGGAGGCCCTGAAACTTATGAATGAAGTTCAAGAACATCTGGAAGAAGAAGAGAGGCTATGCCAGGTGTCTTTGGCGGATTCCTGGGATGAATGCAGGTCTTGCCTGGAAAGTAACTGTGTGAGATTTTATACAGTCTGCCAACCTAGTAGGTCCTCTGTGAAAAATACGGTAAGAGAAAAATAGAGCTCAAGATTTCATAGTTCTTAAGGCACCTACTTCAGCTTAATTGTTTATTAATTTATATTAATATTTAGAATAGAGATAGGCCAATAGAATATTGACATTTTACATTCTAGCATCTGACACTAATGCTTATGTACCATCACCTGTGTATATGCAATTTATAAGTTACAACATCCATTCAGTGTTTATCCTTCCTTTTAATGACACTCGATGTATCTCTCTTAGAAACACCCTGACTTTCTGCCTTGTATTTGTTATTCGTGAACATGTTCCCACTAGATTGTAAGCTCTTTGAACGCAGGGGTCGTATCTTATTTGTCTTCGTTTGAGCATTGTAGGCATCCAATAAACATTTATTGAATTGAATATTGAATCATAGTATTGCAGTCTCTGATTTCAGTCTGCTTTAATTTTTTACCCTGGAGGCCAAATATTTGAAGACATTCTCTGCCTCCTGAATCTCTCTTTCAATGTGTTTGCCCTCTTATATATATGTAGCATGCACACGCCAGTGCATACGGACACACACACCCTTTCATATCCCCTTTTGCCCTATCCACGTATGTCCTGTAGGACTGGCATGCTTTCTTTTTTGTCCCCTTTGGCTATCTTCTGGGCACAGGGAATCACAGACGGTGGTGACCTGAATAGGATGAGCTGTGCCCCATAAAAGGCTCCAATTGGCCTGGATTTCCCTCCTCTTTCAAGAAGTGAGCTGAATTAAATGAATTAAATGGAATTTCACTCTCCATATTAGAGCGGGCACTAATTAGCGTATGCTCCTGGCTTGGCAATGCCATACTCAATTACAAAGGGAGCAACCACTAGGATAATGAATGTGCCAAGTCAATTTGCCTCCACTGTTTGTTGCATCTGCTCTATTTTTAGAGCCCCACTGTCACTCTTTAATATACTAGAATATGGTGGAATGAGCACCAGCTGGAAGTCCAGAGATTTGGGGGCCATTCTCATCTGGGCCACTTGTGTGATCTTATGAAATTTTCTTGGGGCTTTAAAGTTTTGTTTTTGTGGATGGAGTCAAGTAAACGGAAGCTGTCAAAGGGAGAGGCAAGTAATCCACCCAGATTACTTTCTGAGAAAGGCTTGAGTCCTCTAAAAATTGTTGGAGAATTCTTTAAAAAGCACAGGGCAGTAATGTTCAATAGTTGATAACAATCAACACATCCATATCACTATCATGTAAGGGCAACTATGGTCTGCCCAGACCTAGGTGCCACACTGATGAAGCTGAGCATAGTGTGACTGTTGGAATGTCTTCTTCCCCTGAGTGATTCCAGAAATTTTGCAATTAAAGCTTCATTCCTTTGACAATAGCCAAGGAAGGCTTTCATCATTGCTAATATGTAACCATTCCTAAGTAACCTATTAAGCTGTATTTGGCATCTAGTTGAATGTAGATGTGTTTCCTGTCCATAGGTTGATTTATGAGAAGGGAAAGAGAAAAGTATAAAGACACTAATGACATTCCACTAAAAATTATTTTTTAAAAAAAGAACGAAGAGGTGAAAAACAAGACCTCTCTTCACAGTTTTTAGGCAATCTCCATGGTGCCTTATAGGCAATGGCATGCCAACTGTCACCAGCTTACCAGCAGTATTGAAAACGTGACCTTTTTAGGCCGTTGATGGGCAAACATAAACCAGGAGGAATTTCAGATCCTATTTTCTCAAAGTCAAATCCAGGTACAAGAGTGTTCATAAATTATTTTAAAATTAATCACCTTTTCTTAGCGTGATCAGAATTGTTCTTGATTTGGGATGACTACTGTAAGTTGACTTTAAAATTTGCAATAAGAAATGATCCAGAAAGAATATAAATGTTTATTTTATTTCTGTCCCCACCCCACAGATTGAACAGTTTTTTAGGAAGATATATCGATTTCTATTTCCTCTCCATGAAGATGATGAAACAGATCTCCCCATCAGTGAAAAGTCCATTGAGGAAGATGTGCAATTGACCCGAATGGAGGACGTGTTCAGCCAGCTGACTGTGGATGTGAAATCTCTCTTTAACAGGAGTTTTAACGTCTTTAAACAGATGCAGCAAGAATTTGACCAGGCCTTTCAATCATATTTCATGTCAGATACAGACTCAATTGAGTCTTACTTTTTTCCAGCTTTATCCAAAGAACCAACAAAAAACGCGGATCTTGTGCAAAACTGGGACCTTCACAACTTCTTCCAGCTATTTTGTAATTTCAGTCTCTCTATTTATGAAAGTGTCAGTGAAACAATTAGTGAGACACTGAATGCAATAGAAGATTTACCAAAACAAGACAAAGGCAAGTATTAAAAGATTACTTTTACTTAGATGTCTGAAGTCAAGTTGTGTGCAGCTTTGGAAATGGTAGACATTTCTGAGTCATTCCATAGTGTTTCTAGAAGTGACAATTTATGGATAATCAAAGTTTCAGAGCCTCTTGAAAGAAGCTTTGAAGTTTGCCAAACATCATTCCTCTTCCATTGTTGTTGAAAACTCTAGTGCTGTTCCTTTTTTTTTTTAGAGCTCATTTTTAAAGCTGAAAGAAGAAAATGCTATTAGGGTGAAAACTTGAAAAACACAATTCCCTCCTTTATTAATATATGGATGTCCAGCTTTATCCTCCTTGAACATCAGGGAGTTTCTTTAAAATGGGTCTAGAATCTTCAACTCCCAGTTTGTGAAGAAGGCTAGTCTCATAAGCAGAGCAATTTAGCACTTTCACACCCTTCTGTGAATCACTGTCATTCTTTAACTCATAAAGTTCATGCACGAAACCATATAAAGTTTATGCATAAACCTGAAATTACAGAAATATTACATAAGAATTACCTTCTATCAATACTAATCATGCCTCGTAATATTCCATGTTGGCAAAAGAATGCTGCTTTATGTTTTAAGGCAGAAGATATCTTCTTTTGGCTTCTACAGAGTAGCTTAGACACAGCATTTCAGAAATCAGAGCTGCCAGTGTGGGCCACGTGCATTTCCTTGGTTATTGTATTGACCACTAAGCCGAGTAAAAGGTTGCTGTCCTCTGAGATGAAAAATAAAGTGGGCTCCTTCTAGCTGCCTATTTTCCACTTGCATCAGCTATAGCTGGGAACATCTGAATCAGAGTCTCAAAATTGCCCTGACATTGCATAACTGGCCTCTATAGAGGAGGGGCTTACCTCACATGTTTCAAAAACTGAAGCCAGGAAACGATGCATTATATCCGTCCGGTCTCATTGTTCCATGAACAGAGAACAGCCCATTGTTACTGGAATTGTTGGGTTCTATTTTAGAGTCCAGTAGACTTTTCTCATAAGTCAGGTGGTTTGTCTGGTATTCCATTTTAAGGTTCCAAATTCATCAAATCTTCAGGAGAAACATCAGGCAGGTAGACTGAATCTATTCATGCTGTGGTGGTATCAATAATTTTTGCCTGACCTTTTACATAGATATTAAGCGTCTTGGAATAATATTCAGAATGTGTTCATTAGAGCAAAATAGTGGCCCTCCTTCATATTGTGTAGCAACCTTACACATTTGCTACATTCAAATGTGCACAGGATGGTAGTGATTCAGACACACGTCAAAATCTAAATAATTTCCCAACCACTCAACTCCCTCCCACCTGTCAACTAAGAATGTGGGTTTCCACAATCTGCCTCAGCTTCCTCCCCATACACACAGCTAGGAACTGGCCCCTATCCTCAGCTGCTCATGCACACCCTGTCCCTCAGTGACAACCCAGATAGCCAAGATCCCTTGTAAATGTAAACATAAAAAACAAAAATCAAAGAAAACAGTAAACAAAGCCTATGTTACACTATTATACTCTTCTTTCTCCAGTATCCCTCCCCTAGCCAGACGGTACATGGCAAGCTCAGCAGAGGAGACATTCTCTTCCCAGATGAGCAAATGTGGGCTATTTATCAAGAGCAGTCAGGCAGGGGCTGTAGGGTATTCGTATGTGGTTTCCATCACTTTTCTGAACATGTGGTTGATGAGGAATAAGCCTATTGCCCCTAGAAAATCTGCCCAATGAGTTGACATTTTGAGCTTTGCCCTTGTGGTAGACAAAATAATGGCTGCCCAAAGATATCCACACCCTGATCGCCAGAACCTGTGAGTTTATGTTACATGGCAAAGAGAATGTAAGGTTGTAGATGGAATTAATCTTACTTGTCCACTGACTTTAAAACAGGGAGATTATTCTGGATTCTTGGAGTGGGTTCAGTGTAATCACAAAAGTCCTTAAAAGTGGAACAAGGAGGCAGAAGAGAATCAACAGAGATGGTGGCAAGAGAAGGACTCGGCCCTACTTTGCTGGCCTTGAAGGGAGAGGAAGGGGCCATGACTCAAGCAATGTAGGTGGGGTCTAGAAGCTGAGAAGGGTATGGAAAAGGGTTCTCTGAAGGCTTCACAGAAAACCAGCCCTGCCAACACCTTGAGTTGAAGGTGTCTTGATTTCAGAAGTCTGAAGTGAGACCTACTTCAGACTTCTGCCCTAGAACACTGTAAAATAATGAATTTGTGTTGTTTCAAACCACTAAATTTGTGGCAATCTGTTATAGCAGCAATAGGAAACTAATACACACGTCTTTTCAATTACAACTTCCATTTACTGAGCCAGTCCTGTGTGTCTGTCAGCTCTCACAGATGGGCCCATTGGTCATGATAGTCCTAAGAGCCAAAATTAGAAAAATAGCCAAAACTGAATAATGAACACCATTTTAAAAAGATAGACAATAATAAAAAGTCTGAAATATCTTGATATTTAATGTTATTTTTTATTTTATTGAATGTGCTTTCATTTTAGTCTCTATATGGAAGAATTTCTTTCCTACCTTGGTTTTTCTAGACCTCAGTTCTTGAACAGCTCTTGCAATGGTCTTCATTTGTCTTATAAATCCCTAGAAAGAACAGATGAGATCATGTTCTATTGTAGCTTGATACAGTGCTGGATGCCAGGAAATCTGTTTCTAATCCCGACTTAGAGAGTGTTTGCTGATCTTAATTTTCCTGTAGGCGAAACAGACAGCAAGTGGGGAGAATGGATGATTTATGTCAATGATGGTACTAGAAGTAGCCGCCTAGAAGTGCTCTGAGGTTCTGGTGTGGCTTGACTGAGTGAGGTGGTAGATTATGCCATGGGTGCAGGGTGGGGAACTGGTATCTTATGTACCTGGAATTTGCCATCCTGGATCTATGTACCAGGTATTAATCTAGATGCTGGGAATAAAAAAATCATGACGCATCCCCTGACTTCTAAGAGCTCAGTCCAGAGAAAGGAAAACAGATTAGTGGACAATTACATCACCATATCTTAAGTGAAATGTCAGAGGAAGGCACAGAAGAATGAGAAAATTAAAATGGCAAGACCAAGTCCCTTCCCTCAAGAGGCTCAGGGTCTAATGAGAAAGATAAGAAAGCAAACACTACATAAGACAGGGACGAATTCTGTAGTGGAACTCCTCACAGGGGTCATGTGGGGCAGAGAGGAGGGTCCCAGAGACAGCTGGGAAGAAATGACTTTCTAGTCACCAAAGGAGATGGTTGCCTTACATACCAGATGATCTGACAGTGCTTCATTGTTTTTAACAATGGACTTCACAATTTATCTCAAAATAAAATGTTATATTTTTAAATGTTGAGGATTTAATATAACAGAAAAGTGTTAGATTATAAATTAGCAATAAATCTTTCCTTTTGTCAAACACTCCATTAGGAACTGCCAATTTTCTGTTGGGCAGCCTTCTCTTTTACATCAATATTTTTATGTATATTGTTAATTCTCCTAAAAAAAATGGGTTCTCAAAATTTGATCTGGTATAGGCATTTTCCTAAATCTTTGACCCACTGTTTGTAACATTATATATGTTATATATAGGAAGTACAAAAAAAAAGTAATAAATACCTATCACCCAGTTTAAGAAGCAGACATTTCCAATGTCTTTGGAACTCCAGTGTACTTCCCAATTATAGCATTAAAGATTTTAAGTGTTTGTGCTTAACAGGTAAGGGAAAAATAAATAAATAAAAATAAAAATTTTAAATAATTATTAGAGGTTTTTTAAATAGAAGTCCAAAGAAAAAGTGGCTCCTAATCCCCTGTTTACTTAACTCTATTGACATCAGAAAAAATGATAACGCATTCTACTAAGTGAGGTATCCCAAGAATGGAAAGACAAGCACCACATATACTCACCATCAAATTGGTATTAACTGATCAATACATAAGTGCACATATAAGAATAACATCTATTGGATGTTGGGCAGGGGGGAGGGGAAGGGGGTAGGAGGGCCCAGGGGACGGGTATATACATACACAAAGAGTGCAATGCGTACCACCCGAAGGATGGACATATTTGAAACTCGGACTTGGGGGGGGGGCAAGGGCAACATACATAACCTAAACATCTGTACCCCCATAATATGTTGAAATAAAAAAAAAATGATAAAAATAAGATGCACTAACTTTAAAATAATTCAAATATACAAAGGAACAAAATAAATGAAAGCTAACTTCTCCCACCCCATCAAGTCCCTCTTCCAAATCATAGTTACTATTAATAATCTTCATGATTTCTTCTAGAAATAAAATTATGTAATTTTATTTAATTAACATATTTAATATGCTTGTGTGTGTGCACGTACTACTAATAAATTTCTAGTAATGAGATTCCTGGAGCCAAGGATTTGTCCAATTTTTAATAGATGTGAAATTGTCCTAGGAAATGATTGCACCAACATGCAGTCCTATGTCTGAACACAGGAAAAAGATTTTGAAAGCACTGGTAAGAAAAAGCAGTGACATTGTCTCCACTTTATTCAAGTGCAAACTCTAAGGACACTGATGTGTGTATGATGCGTCCCCCGCAGGCCCTGAGCAGGGCGGCCTGATTTCAAAGATGTTACCTGCATGGGACAGAAGACGCTGTGCGGAACTTGGCCAGAATTTGTCGGGATGTTTCCAATTTCACGAAAGATGCCAAATATGTCAGGATTACCTATCTGAAGGTAAGTGACTACTATTTTCTCGGGATTTCAATAGTATTCTGGACGGAAGACAAAATCTCACTTTCACAAGCATTGTGGGTTCATTTGCCTTCCTTCAAGTACTTTTTCACATGCTTGTTTCCATCTGAGGGTATTCAATGTAGGTTTATACATTTTTATTCTTCCAAAGTATGTCATTCTTTCACTTTCTTTAATTCTCTAATTGTTCTTGTGAAATTTTTTATTGATTAAAGACCAAAAAAACCACTAATATGTGCAAAAGAGGTAAACAATGAGCAAATTAGGGCAACTCCTCCCTTCTCACTACAAAGGAAACAACCCGCTAAGGAAGGAAACCTTTCCATTGTGTAAGTCAGTGTCTAGCCAAGTGAAAGATTTGTTTGAAAGTGGCATTTATTCTTTTTAATTGGTGGGCTAATTATCTAATTTATATTTAAATAGGGAAAGTAGCTTCTGCTTATAAGCTCCAAGAAGCCTGTCCCTCCTAGACTTGGCCAAGAGCAGTCTTTCTCCTTCCTTCCCCAGGCTGGAAATCCTCCTCCCTTTCCTCCTTCCCTCCCCTCAGCCCCCTTCCTTGCCTTGACTAAAGTTGCTCCTCCTACCTCACCAAGGCCATTTAGCAAATTTTCTTACAAAATATGATAAGAGCTTTTGATTCCTATTTTTCTGCATTTTGTCTTGCTAAGGCCCTAGGGGAAGGAAATTTAGAAAGTGTGGCTAATGGCTTAGAGTAGGAGGTTTCAACACACAGAAGAACACAAATTAATATCTTGAAAAATTATCCTACCACACTAGGTTGTGATTTGGGGCAAGTTGTTTAGGCTGACCAGGCCTCAGTTGAGTAATCTGTAAATAAAGGACCGGAGATAATCTTTGAGTTCTAACAAAATTATTCTATAAAGCAAGTTCAAGAAAGATCAGATTATAATTTGTTAGCTGCAAAATAATAGCTCTTGTGCCCTTGACATCCCTCACAGTAAAGACCACTGGAGTAGTATTTACATCTGCAGAGAGAGCAGAGAGCACAGCTCTCGGAAACTCCCAGCTGGCTCTCTCTCCTCAATCCTCTAACAAGGAATGATTTGCAACAAATTTAGCTATTTAGAGAAAAAGGAGAATAGAACTGTTATGATCTTGAACAACATAATATAGAAAACATTGATTTGTAACGTGTCATCAGATACACCATAATACTAACAAAGGTTACCTTTGGGTTTTAAAATTAAGGATGATTTTTTTCCTCTCTGTATTTTCCAAACTTTTTACCATAGACATACAGATGCTCCTCGACTTACAATGGGGTTGTGTCCTGATAAACCCATTATAAGTTGAAAAATCATTTAAATCAAACCATTGTAAATCGGGGACCATTTGTACATGTGTGTATATGTATGATATTAAAACTTATTAGAGGCCGGGTGCGGTGGCTCACACCTGTAATCCTAGCACTCTGGGAGGCCCGAGGCAGGAGGATCGCTCAAGGTCAGGAGTTCAAGACCAGCCTGAGCAAGAGCGAGACCCTGTCTCTACCAAAAATAGAAATTAATTGGACAGCTAAAAATATATAGAAAAAATTAGCCGGGCATGGTGGCGCATGCCTGTAGTCCCAGCTACTCAGGAGGCTGAGGCAGGAGGATCACTTGAGCCCAGGAGTTTGAGGTTGCTGTGAGCTAAGCTGATGCCACGGTACTCTAGCCGGGGCAACAGAGTGAGACTCTGTCTCAAAAAAAAAAAAAAAAAAAAAAACAACTTGTTAGAGATCTCTAAAACTGGTTTGATTTTTTTTTATGTAGTATGACTTTTATTTAATCACCCTGCTCAAGGAACCTGTGCTTTACAGATTAATATTGTTTATTAATGAAATAGTTCTTTCTATTGTGTAAATTAATGCATTGCAGATGGTTCTAAACATCTAAATGCTTTGCAATTCGACAGGAGTAGGTTCCCATTCTAATTTTTTTTGTTCAATTAAACAAACAAACAAAAAAGAATTTAATAGAGCCTATTAAATTAGATCGATATTTGTATAGTTACTAAACCTTTTTAGAGTCAATTATACTCCTCTTCTCCTTTTGTTTAAACACCGCCAGCCTGGGCTCTTCTTTAGAATTCTCAGGTTAGCTGGGCTTGTGAGGGGGGCCAGGCTACGGAGGCCACAGAACAAGGGCAAGGAGTGATCTCTCTCACCCTCTTCCACTTCATTCTCTCTCATCTTCTTCCCACCTCAGCGGTTGCTCATCTCTCCCCCTTCTTTTGAAAGCAGGGTCCATCATATAAATGAACTTGTCTACTCCTCCACATCCCTCTAGGGCCAAATTTTCTTTCCATGGACACATCTACCCCACCTTAGAATGTAGATTAGAAAATTCTGACATCTAGAATCTGTCAGGGAAGAAAAAGGTTTGGAAAGCTTTGCTCTAAGTAGCTTTGATTATATCTAAACTGGACCTTTGTGTTGGATTACCTAGAGCAGACGAAGGTCTTATTTCTCCTCAATCGCCAACTGGATGACTCAGCCTCTGTTTCACCATATGGAAGAGGAGAATAATAGATCTACTTTATCCAGGTCTTTTGAGGATTAAATAAAATTTCTGAAGTGTCAGTGATTCTCATTATTCCAATATTCATTTTTTTAAATCACAGTTGCAAGGCTGCAAACAGAAACAAATGATTTTATAACAGAAAAATATACACTAATATACTGACCACTTACAAAAATAGTCCCCGTAAAGCATCCCGTCTATGTATCATTAACATCTATTTCCTTCTAGTCAGTTAAAATATTGGATGAATAATCCCTGATTGTCACAAGATGATACAGAATAAATCAGATAATACAGTGTAAATATATCTAATGATCAGTGTGTGTCAGATAATGGATACAGTATATATCAGATAATACAGTAAAAATGCAATGTAGGTTGATTGTTACAAAGGTAAAAAATAATGTCCTAATGTGCTCACCTACTGTTTAAAACTGTTATTATAAAATGCATTTTATTATAAACATATAAAAAATGATATAATAAAAGCCTGCGTGCCTAGCACCCAGATTGAGAAATAAAACATTTCCAAAGCAGATGAAGCCGCCACTGTGTCCCCCTTGACATCACATCCCTTTTATCCTCTCAAAAAGGAAACTGCTATTTTGACCTTAGTGTTTATTATTTCCTTGCATTTCTTTATACTCATATGATGTATTTACATATATGTACATGTATATAATAGATACACACATACCATACATAGCAAATGTTTTGCATGTTTTTAATTTTTTATTGTCAAAGTATAATTTTTAAACTTAAAAATATGACTCATACAAATATAAAATGAGCACAAGTCAAAAATTAATTTAACTTATTAATGAAGGGACTGGTAGGGTGTTAGAGCTGGGCAAAAAAAATATATAAGAAAGACTGGAGCATTCATAGCCGAGGAGAGACAGAATGCTGCAGTAAGATTACAAAATTAGATACAAAACCAGTTAATAAACTAAAAGGCAATAAAACTGTAACTTTTGCAGTTATCTTTTCTATGAGACCACAATCATTTACATCTCTGCTGGACAAAAAACATTTGCAACTTTCCAATCCATAATTTACATCTAACTTCATAGGGTCTGGCCCTAATCAACAGTGAATATTCAGACCAACAAAGGATCATTTCCCTACAGAATTAAGTGATGTTTGGATGGGCCTCTTAGAAAACAATTTAGTATGACATTGAAAGGACATGCAATCATTCTTTTGCTTTCTTTCCAAGTTCTGGATAATTTTCCTTAATAATATAAATGTTATTGCTTATGTATTCTTTTGCAACTTAGTGTTTCACTCTGTAGTTTGTGAGTTTAGCCATGTGAATACACGCTCTTCTAGTCCATTCATTCACTGTTGTATGTTGGTCTGTGTAGGCATATCACAATTTATCTATCCATTCTCTAGCTGAAGTACATTTGTTTCCAAAGTTTTGCTATTACCAACAAATCTCACACATTTTATCAAACAATAATTTTGTCTCTTCAATCAACATTTGATTTACTTTGATTGAATACTAAACACATAGCTATAATTATAACCTCATATTTTATAAATATAAGATAAAATATTTTCCAAAACATCACAAATCCTTTTTTTTCCCCCCACTGTTTACTATATATTTTTTGGTCCCAATTTTAAGTGGATCCACTATATGTGGTTCTTTTCCCATACTAATTACTGGTACTGGACATACACACCCAAATTCAAAATAGTAGTTTCCTTTTGAGAGGTTAAAGGGCATGTGATGTGCAAGGTGTACAGTAGGGGCTTCTTCTGTTTTGGGGTGTTTTTTAAAACAGAGGTGATAGGCACAAGGGGTTTATAACAAGAAGTTCTTTCTCCAGCCCAGTTTCTGCTGTGTAAAACCATATAATTAAAAATTAAACTGGATCTCGTTTGCAACTGATGTAGGCAATATTAGTAATTACTCCAGAACGACAGGAATACACTAGGAGCTCTCATAGGCAAAGGGGAAAATAGAAAGTGCAAGGGCTGAGAGTTAAGCCCTTGTTGCCCTCCTCCAAGTTTCATGGACCTTTTCCTTCACCACGTTACTTTCTTCTTGCTAGACTGTCCTGATGTACCTGCACTACACACAGAATTAGAGGAGGCCCTTAGGCTGGTCAACGTATCCAGTGAGCAGTACGCCCAGATCCTCCAGATGACCCAGCAGCACGTGGAGGACACCGCCTATCTGATGGCCAGGATGAGACGGCAATTTGGCTGGGTGTCTGAACTGGCAAACCACGTTGCAGAAACCGAGATCGTCTTTAGTTCAGTAAAGGTAAAGGCAAGGCCCAAGAGCAGCTCTGGAGATTACACATGCACACCTTGATTTCTCTGTTAATTTACTTATTAATTACAGCTGAATTTGAAAACAAGCTATGAGGAGTATTCGTATTTCTGTTGCAATTGTATTCAGGCTGACTTGATTTAATGTAGTTCATGGTCTTTAGAAAACAAGAAACTCTCCAAAGAAAATAAATGTAAAACACAAAATACTTTCTAGTCCAGAGATTGCTAATTCTGCTTGTAGTTATAGGGCTATACCTGATAGAGGCATCCTTGAAGAAATCTGGCCAAACTTCTCTCTTTTTAAGTTTTTGAGAGAGAAGACTTACAGATAAAGTAATTTGAGTTCAATTTTTGATTCTGAAACTTACCAGCTAAGTAAGCTTGGAAAAGTTCCTTAGCCATTCTATGCCTCAGTTTTTCCACCTATAAAGTGGGAATAATAATAGCTATCTTGAAATGTATGTCTATAAAGTGATAGTATAGGTTCCTTATACAAAGCAAGAGCCCTGTAAATTACAGCTCTTATTAATTTTTGACACAATAAAGCTGCTGCATTATCTTGAGAACTAAACATATTTATACATTAATCTTCACATAAAGACATTTTTGAAATTTCAGCATATTGCAGGGGTACAAATGTTTAGGTTACATATATTGCCTTTGTCCCACCCGAATCAGAGCTTCATGCATGTCCATCTCCCAGACAGTGTGCACCGCACCCACGTATAGATTTATTGTCATCTTAAATTGCACCTACACCATGACGCCCACATTCAATTATTCTTTTTGCATAATGATAAACAGTGACTTTCTTTCCTGAGACATTTCTCCCCTACCCCACCACATACACACACATTACATTAATAGACAAGGGCACCAGGGTAGTGGTTCCTGATGACAAAAAAGACCTGGATACAAAAATCACTGGGCAGAGCATGGAAGATGCAATATTCTGTGCAGTAGGTGATGTTGGCGCCCTGCCCTTGTACCAGCTCCTGCTGGGCTGGTGCTGGTGCCCACTGCTTATCCCTGCAACCTTCTCCAAAGGACGCCCCCTGGCACTTACGCTCCACAGCTCCCTGCAGGATCAGGCTGAGGCTAGAGGTCACCTGAAGCCACCACCTTGCCTAATTTCTTTCTCTTGTCTAGTTTGCTTTCCTCATCCCCTTAAAAGTTTCACCCGAGAGCATCCCTTTATAAATCACTTATGTCAGAATCTCAGGCTCTGCTTCCAGGGAATTGGAACAATGATATTCTGTAATCCAGCATTTTGCTGTTTTCCAAACTACGAAGTTGTGGGCCATGCATGGTTTGAGAATTAAGTTTAGAAAGTCACAAGCACATTAAAAAACAAAATCAATAAAACACAAAAAAATAGAATAGGACAGACTAGAAGAGAAAATGTTAGTATGCATTGTATTTAACAAAGTGTATGCATGTCACGGAACTTTCATTTCTGTTTTGTGTATGTATTTGTGTGTGTGTGTACAGACATAATGTGTATAAATATATATACACATATATAGACATGTGTGTTTGGAGTCATGATGTAAAATGTATCTGTTACTGTAGACGGCAGGGAAAGGGTTTTGGAAGCCACTGTTCTAATCCCTGCTGACTCTCTGATTCTATTATTCCATGAGATCATATTCTAGGAGGGTAAAATAATTCAATATATTTGATCATCCTCATATATAGACCTTTAGTTTAATGAATAAAAATTCTTACCTTGAAAAATAAAATTTTGAGAAAAATTTTAGCAGTGCTTTTAATCTTTAGAAAGCTACAGCCAATATTTAATTCTTTTTATCATTATCAATATTTTCCATCCTATGCTTCAATTTACTTCCATTTTAGTGTCTCTGAGTAACACTAACAGATTTATCTAAAATTCTTTATGTTCATAACAAAGGTACCTCTATATAAAAACCTGCATATGAAATAAAATTATGGCTTCCAATTACATATTTTTATAATAATCATCACTAAAGAGAACTTACTATGTGTCAGGCAATGTTTTAAGAATTTTTTTCATATATCTGATCAGTGAATCCCCTCCATGACCCTATGAGGTAAGTTGTATTATTTTCTCAATTTCTCAGATGAAGCACAAAGGAGTTTAAACAACTTATCTAAGTTCACACAGCTAATAAGTGGTAGAACTGGAATTCAAACTCAAGCAGCCTTTATCCAGAATCAGCAGGCCTGACCACTTTGCTAAACTACCTGTAAAAGTTATTTGCCTTGAAACAGCTTTTATTTCATCACGCAAATTAAAGTGCAAACCCATAAAAGAGCAAGTACTTAAGAGAGGCCTTGTGTAAGAAACATACAAATTCTAGCAAATGACAACAGTTATGGCCCCTGGTTGTATTAATAGTTACATGAGTATTTGCTTTGTACTTATTAAACTAGACATAAATGCTTTCTGCAGTTATGTGTGTTATATTCACTAAAAGAGAAGGGAAAAAGTTATGCTAGCTACTCCTTTATCAGCTAGAATTATGGAATTACCAGGTTCAATTTGGCCTCCCAATGTTTTGGCTTTAGTTTTTTTGATAAGGGAATTTATTTGAAAATATTCCCAAAATAGTTCTCTTAAGGTTACATCAAGTCATATGCCAGTTCCATTTTATTTAAAAGGCTAAAAGCAAAGTACAGATATACACACTTGAGAATTCATGAAGGGAGTAACCAACGTGCATTTCGCATGATTAATTCTTGCCTAAATCACACATCCAACCATAAATTGTAAATTTCCTAGGAAAACTCAGTACAAAACTTGTTGTGGCATAGACAGGAGTGCTCACCTACATTCCTTCTGCTCACTCATGTTTCCCAGCTCCCCCACAGCTAAGTGTTGTCATGTGGGAAGTTCTGGCCAATGAAATGTGAGCAAAAGTGATAAGAGTATTTCTAGGCTGAGTTAGTGAAGAGCCTATGTGTGCTTCTTTGTTTCTGCTGAGGGCACAAAGAAAACCATGAGTTCATCTGCTACAGCCATGAGATTATATGCCTCTGTCAACCAGGGTCCTGAGTGTCTACTGGTATGGAGTCCTTGTGATGGACACGTAACACGAGTGACAAATAGATTTTTGTTGTACGAAGCCACTGGAATATTGGGGCTAATCTGTTACCTCAGCACAGCCTAGCCTATCCTGACTAATGTGGTATTAAATTAACAGTGGACGTGTACTGGGACTAGTACATCTCTCACTGTACGATCCTTCTTTTCTAGGCAGTTCCAAGTGTTCATGAAGATAATTTTTCCAAATCAGATGAAACAACAGTAGACTTAAGCATCCTGCCTTCTTCTAATTTCACACTCAAGAGCCCTCTGGAAGAAAATGCTGAGAGTTCTAACTTCATTGGCTACATAGTGGCGAAAGCTCTACAACATTTTAAGGACCATTTTAAAAATTGGTAAGCAGAGTGTCCGTTTAGGAATGCTTTGTTGACAGTAATAGATGATTCCTTGTTGCTCCATAAATTAATATTACTATAGTAGACACAGAAATGGTCTTAGGAGTTTTGCAGGGCTCTGTCCTGAAAGAATATGTGAACATGTTAGTTTGCATATCAAAAGCTGCTCCACCTCAGGAGGGCGTCTCAAAAGGTCAGCAGCAGCTGCTTTCCAAGGTGATGCTGTGGTCTCAACCCCGTGGGTCTCACCCACTTTGAAGGACAAAGCAGGAATCACGGGATGAGAGCTGATCAAAGAGTGTCCGCCCACAGACAGATACCTGCAGCTAAAAACAATTAGCCCAAGGGACAGTTCCTGCTTGATTTCTGATGACCTGTCTCTGTCTGCAACAACTAGATAAAGAAATATGGAGCCAATATATCTCTGTTTGACCCTTCTGTTAAGTAATAGCTTTATCTTAGAACTTAGAAGTTTGTCCTTGAAAGACTTTGTAACCAGAGTTAGTTAGGGGATCTATAGAAGCCTTTTGAAAGACTTTTAACCCCAAATGAACTACCTGTTATTATGTAAATCTGTTACCCCTGGCAACTGATCTCTGTACCTATAAATGCCCATGCGAAACTTTATTCTGGGCCTTATGATTAACGGGATATCGTAGGGACCCTCGAGTATGCCTGCTTTTTGTCTTTTATAAATCTATAAAACTATACCTTCGTCTCTGTGTATTCTTTTATTTCCATTATTCTGCATTTTCTATTATTTTCTTATCCTTTGCGACGACCCCTACCTAAGGGACTCGATTTTTTGCGGGGAGCGTGGCTAAACTGCCTGCAATTCCTAAAAGGGAAAAACAAAACTAGTTTTTAAATACCTGGAAACTGAATTCAACCTCATTAATAATCAAAGACATGAAAACAAACAAGATAGCATTTTCTGCCTATTAAATTTACAAATTAAAAAATCCCTGCAAAATCCTGATTGAAGTGTAATGAAATAGGAATTCTTATGTTACTGTATTGATGGGAATACGAACTAGTTTTGCCTTTTTGAAAAGCTATTTGATTATGCATATCAACAGGCATAACATTTCTTTTTGATATAGCAATTCCACTTTTGGAATCAATCCTAAGGAATGTATCTAAATCGATTAAAATTCTGCCTCCAAGTTCTGTATTTGCAAAATTATTTAAAATAGTAAAATGTTAAAAATAAAATTATTGTTACAAGAGTGTGCTTAAGTAGATTATAGCTGAATACATTCAGTACATTTTAATGAACCCATTAAAAATATTTATAAAATTTAAATAATAACTTGCCAACTAATTTAACAAGGGCTTTATTATAAACCCATCTTTGAGGTAGTATTATTATCATCATTTTACAAAAAAGGAACTTGAGGCTTAGGGTCCAAGGTCAAATGAACTACTCAAGTCAGTAGCAGATAGAGCCAGAATTTGAACTCAGTTCCCCCTGACTCATAATCACCACACTGAACTGCTTCCTGTTAGGGACATTTGGTCAAAAAAAGCAAGATACAAAAATCTTGGTAATATGACCAATCTTAAAGAATAATTACATTTTAGTTCTAAGCTGTCATTCATAAAGGAACTTGTTGGTAGGTCACCATGAATGTCTAATTAAGCTACATATTACTAGATTTTCTGCCTCTTCCCTTACCTCTGAGTTTTGAGGGCCTTTATTTCTATTTATGTCAGTCAAATGACCGATATCTTTTTAGCATCTACTAAGTTAAGGCACAAGACCCAGTACTATGAAGGAGAAAATGAAAAATTGGACAAGACCCTGTCTCTACCAAAAAAAACAGAAAGAAATGAGCTGGACAACTAAAAATATATATAGAAAAAATCAGCTGGGCATGTTGACGCATGCCTGTAGTCCCAGCTACTCAGGAGGCTGAGGGAGAAGGATCGCTTGAGCCCAGGAGTTTGAGGTTGCTGTGAGCTAGGCTCACGGCACTCTAGCCCAGGCAACAGAGTGAGATTCTGTCTCAAAAAAAAAAAAAAAAAATTGGACAAGATCTGGTCCCAAAAGAGCTTCCTATCCAGCAGGGGGCACAAGACAGACAGACAGACACACACACACACAAACACACACACATACACACACACACACACACACACACACACACACACACACACACGACAGACACAAGACACACACATCAGTGTAATTCAAGGCAGGATTTGGTGAATGCACAAGAGCGGGCTCTGGGAGTCCAGGGAGGGTTGTTTACTTTCTGGCAGGGGAGAAATTTCTGAGCTGGATGTACTGCATTCCTTTCCCTTTCTTCCCTTCTCACCCATTTTCTATCTCCTCCCATCTTTTCCTCCTCTCCCTTCCTCTTTCCCCTCCTTCCTCCCACCCTCTCTTCTCCCTTCCTTTTTTAAAAATAGATTAATTCATTAAAAACATATATATGTAGCTATATACACACACAGTGTGGAGGTGGGAGGGGAGAATGTTCAAAAAAGGGGGAAAGTGTGAACAAATAGGGCAAGAAAGAGTAAGAGTAGAGCATCTAGGTGTTAGGGATGTTGGGAAGTCCCGTCAAACTGGTCCCTGCCCACTATGGGGCCTCTGAGCTTCCCTGTGTCTAGGTACCTCCCACCCTATGTGAGTTTGGGTTCTTTATTTAGCTGTAAGCAACCAAGACCAACTCAGCTAAAAGAAATGGAAGGATACTGTCTGACTCATCAAATCAAAGGGGAAGCTGGACCACCATGCCTGAGCAGGGCAGGAACCAGGTAACTCAGGAGTCCCAGAGGTGGGAACTCATGGACAGCTTCTTTGGGGCACAGTGGTCACGGGGAAGCAGCGGCAGTGGTTTTCAGTTTTCAGGTCACTCTGCTGAAGACTTGACTTGCAGGAAGGAATCTGACTGGCTGCGCTGGGTCCTGTGTGTCTACCTCTAGACCACAGGAGAGGGGCATCGTGGGTGGTAGTCCCAATACACTACCTCTTTGTCTTGGTAGTTAGTTCAATGACTTAGTTCAATGACTTAGTTCAAATTGTCACTTCTTCAGGGATGACATGTCCTCTCTGACCCCTAGACCAGGCTGGGGCCCCCTTTCATACATGATCCTAACACCATGCAACACTCAATTCTTCTGATTTTTACATTTACCCACCTGGCTCTTTGATGAATGTCCATCTCCACCACTGGACCATACACTCCAGGAAGGTGGGCACCATTTGAGGCTGTTTGCTCTCCACGTCATCCCAGGGCCCTAGGACCACGCCTGGCACAGAGCAGACCCTCAATATTTGTTGAATAAATAAACTAATACACACATGTGAATGCATAGAATACAACAAGAGCGACAGTAGATGAAGATGGAAAGCCAAGTTGGGAAGAGGTCAGGAGGATTTTGAATGCCAGGCTGTGGAGTTTGAGTTCTATGGCACTGGTGGGACATTGTAGGTTTTTGAGAAATCAAACAATGTGCTAGTACTCACGTCGGTACTGACCATGCTATAAGCCAAATCAAAATATTTTCAATAAAATCACATCTTCACAGAAGTTGGAATGATATGGGTGCAGTGACAATGGGAAATGAGATATTGGGTAATTGAGAGATTGAGCAAATTATTTACCAATAAGGCACACAAAGTGATCTTTCATGAAGGCAATGTTAATTTTTTTCTTTTTAACTTAGTTTTTAAATTCTAAAAGTAACAAAATCACAATTTCTAAAAATGTAGAAGACAAATATGATTCATAACCCCATCATTTTAACAAAACCATTTCTGTCATTTTACTATTTTCTTTATTCCTATTTTCTACTTAGTTTCTTAGATTGAATCCCAAGAGATAGAATTACTTGTTTAAAGGTTATTAACATTTTATTGTTTTTGATATATATTTATATATAGCCAAATTTAGTAACAGCAATGTCCGAAGCATGAGTTTCTCATATGCTAACTAGCATTTCAAGTTTTAAAAAATATTCAATAACGAAAATTTTTATAACCTTATATTTTTTATTACTCATGAGAATAAACATTTTTCTGAGTTTGCTTACTGACTGAGTTTCTTGTGTGTGTGTGTGTGCATCCTATTCAATACAGTGGATACAATTTTCTCAGTGTTCTGATTAGATCGATGCATCAGGCTTCCAAACCTGACAGAGGCGAAAGAGAAAGATACTAAGCAAAAAACCAGGGACAACGGCAGAAAAGGATCACGCTGGCATTTTCAATCATGTAAACACTTGTTAGATACGCTAGCTGCAGGTTACGTAGCTTGCTAAAACATGAACTCCGATTTTATAGGGTGAAACATATTTAGACCCATCCTCTGGAATTCTTCTCTAGTAAACTGGCATCCTAAGTGCCTGGAGTTCCTGACTGATTTGCATGTGTTTTATTTCCCCATTCCAAACTTTCACAGCTGCCAGCCCTGGGATCAACAGTTACAGGCTGTAACACAATGTCTTGTACATCCTGTGTATTTAACCAGCCTTTGTTGATGAGTTTTTACCATCATCATCATCGTTAGAGGCACACATTAAAAATTTGTTGAATAAAGTTATGAGTCACGAATAACAGAAGTTTATTGGGCAAACACTGTTTGCACACACATAAAGTATAGAAAAAACACTTTATTTTCACATGAGAGGAAGGGACCATCTTGGAGGTTCAACAAACTAGGGGACTGTGAAGATTTCTTCAAACAGCAATGTTAAGAATATCCACACATATGGCTTTTCCATTAGTTTGCTATGTACAGTATTAATCTTTCCAAAAGCCAAGGGCCTTTCTTCTGTTACTCATCCTGGACTTTTACTCCAAGAAAAAAAATACACCGAGTCTATAAGTAATTTATTAGTATTTTGATTATTGCTGCTTTTTTTTTTTAAAGGTAAGAAGATCTAATGTATCTTATATCAGGCAAGTAGAATTAGCTCTTCAGCCGAGACCTGAATATCCTGAAATGCATAAGGATAATGCAATAAACGTAGCTGCGGAAAAGTACGCGAGTTATGTATTATGAAGTCTGTTATTAATAATTTAGTTTGAATAGCAGTTTAATAGCTACTCAAATTGAGTTAAAATGAAAATTCTTTTTAAAAAAATCAAGTGTACGTATATATGTACTATATTTTATGGTACATTGGTAGTTCTTCATATGTCAAATAAATATTAAGTCTCCTTCATGTCTATGTTCTATCATTTCTACAAACGTATTACTTGCTAATTAACAAAAAGTTCTTTCAATTTGCTTTTGTGTTTAAAATATAATTGACTTTTTGAAAAAAAATCTGTAATTCATTCCTTTGTTTAGTAAAAACCAATAGCTTCTGCACAGTTTTATTTGGGTGTGTGGCAAAATATATTTGGTTATTAAGTATGAAATGTCCGATTTCCTTAAGTACCAAGTCTGACAGTTGCTATCTCTGATATTTCACTTTGACACTTCTTGTTTTATGTTTGTTGTGAAGGTACATCCTCAGTGTTTCAAATGCACATTTTGCCTTGTGATTATCTTTCAAATTTTTTTTTAGAGCAATTTTTGTGAAACCATGGATAAGTCAAAAATTCTTGTTATTTTCAAATATGAGTTCTGTTGTGGAACCAATGTAGTGCAGACAGTTCAAAATATCAATAAAGTGTTTGGGAAGGATGTGGCTAATGAAGCACAGTACATCCATGGTTTGAGAAGTTCTGTTGTGGTGATTTTAATCTTGAAAATTAGCCTTATGGGTGACCTGAGACCAAGGTGGGTAACGATGAGCTGAAAGCTGTAGTGGAAGTGAATGCATCTCAACCGACGTTGAGATGTGTGAATTAACACAAGATTTGATGTTACTATTCCAACAATATTGGACCACTTGAAACAAATCAGAAAGGTAAAGAAGCTGGATAGATGGGTTCTGCATGAATTGAATGAGCATCAGAAGAGAAATCGTCTGAAGGCTTGCCTTTCTTTGCTGTCACGACATAAAGGTGAACCATATCTACACCATATTGTTACGTGTGATGAAAAGTGAATTCTTTTTGACAATCGCTAGTGTTCGGCACAATGGTTGGATAAAGATGAAGTGCCAAAACACGGTACAAAACCAGATATTCATCCAAAAAAGCTAATGGTGTCTGGTGGTCCAGCAATGGTATTATCCACTACAGCTTCATGAAACCTGGTCAATCGATTGTAGCAGATGTCCACTGCAACCACCTGGACAAAATGATGAGGATGCTTGAGATGAAGCAGCCAAGATTGGTCAACAGAGACAGGCCAATCCTCTTGCAAGACAATGCTCAACCACATGTCGCACAAACAACACTGCTCAAACTACAGGCTGGACTTGGAAACTCTCTGTCATCCACTGCATTCACCAGACCTTGCACCAACTGACTACCACTTCTTCCAGGCTTTGGACCACTTCTTGCAAGGAAAAATATCCAATTCTTAACAAGCTGTGGAAAATGCCTTTTGATATTTCATCACCACTCTAGGCTTCTTCGCCACTGGCATAATCAAGCTACCGTTAAGAAGGCAAAACTGTGTCGACAGTTTAGGCACATATTTTGATTAACTGTACTGCTTCTTGTTTGAGATATCATAAACTTTTGATTTGAAATCAGACATTTCACACTTAATGACCTAATATATGGCATTAAGTTTACCATTTTAACCATTTTTAAGTGTACAGTTTGTAGCATTAAGTACATTGACATTGTTATCCATCTCTAGAACTTTTTTCATCTTCCCAAACTGAAACTCTGCACCCATTAAACACTAACTCCTCATTTCCCCTGCCCCACAGCCCCTGGCAAACACCATTGTGCTTTCTGTCTCTATGAATCTGACTACTCTAGGTACCGCATATAAGTGAAATCACACAGTACTTTTCCTTTTGTGACTGTCTTATTTCACTTAGCATAATGTCTTCAAGGTTCTAATATATACCTAATTTTGCTTATCTTATTCATCCATTCATGGACACTTGGGTTGCTTCCACCTTTTGGCTATTTTGAATCATGCTGCTTTGAACATGGGTGTACTGCAGTTTCTTTCTTTCCTTTTTGTTTTTTTTTTTTTTTTTTTTTTTGAGAGGGTCTCGCTCAGTTGCCCAGACTGAGTGCAGCGGCCTCATCATAGCTCACTGCAACCTTGAACTCCTGGGTTCAAGCCATCCTCCTGCCTCAGCTTCCTGATTGGCTGGGACTGCAGGCATGTGTCAACATGCCCAGCTAATTTTTCTACTTTTCGTAGAGATGGAGTCTCACTGTTGCTAAGGCTGGTCACAAACTCCTGGCCTCAATTGATCCTCCCACCTTGGCCTCCCAAATTGCTAGGATTACAGGTGTGAGCCACCTAGCTCAGCATAGTTTCTTTTTAAAATTAACACGACAGTGCTGTCTTTTAACAAGTCCACATATACTTTATGGAAAACACAGGGTGTTTTTGTCTGACACTCACTTAACTTTATAATTTGGACTTGGTGCAATACAATAATGGGAGAGCTATTTGTCAGTATATATCACTAGGGATTACATTGAGAATATATATAGTCTTTCAAGTTATAAAGAGAAATGTAATCAAAGAGAGGACTCTAAACCTTTAAAGAACTTTTCACTGGGTCTTGACCTGTTTGATAGAAAGGTTTGTCAGAGAAAGTTAGAGTTCAGAGGCAGCCAACTGAATGTAATCAACTCCACATGAAGATAAGTTTTTCCTAAATCATAACCAAAGTCTATAAAAAATGGGAACTATTGCTAGAATCCTGGATTCCTTGGTGTATGGTAAATCTCAAATAAATAGAGTCTATTTAACCATACATTCCATATATTTGTTAGAGAAAGTGACAAAAAATAAGTTATTAAGGGAACCTGACTATTTTCTATCCAACAAGCTATCAAAAGCTTGTAAAGTGGAAAGAGAAACGGGGAAGTCAGGCTCAAAGCAGTTAAGTGGCAAAATGGTTGACCTGGATTTTAATCCTGGCTACTACAATTTTTAGGTGTCAAACTGTAGGCATGATCCTCAACCTCAGTAAGTCTCAGTGTCTTCAGTATAAAGTAATAAAAGTACAGTAGTGCCTCCCTTACTCTCAGTTTCACTTTGCAAGCTTTCAGTTACATGAGGTTAATTGTGGTTTGAAAATATTAAATGGAAAATTTCAGAAATACGTAATTCATAGGTTTTTAATTGCATGCCCTTCTGAGTAGCGTGATGAATTCCTTGCTCCCTCCCACCCAGGAGATGAATCCTCCCTTTTTCTGGTGTCTCCATGCTATCTACACTCTCCTCCCCCTTGCTGTCTACACCCCCTACTGGCCATTAGTCACTTAGAAGCCATCTCTGTTATCAAATCAGCTCTATCCAGTGCTTGTGTTCAAGGAATCCTTATTTCACTTTATAATGGCCCCAAAGCGCAATAGTAGGGATGCTGGCATATTGTTATAATTATTCTATTTTATTATTAGATATTGTTTTTATCTCATACTGTGCCTAATTTATAAATTCAACTTTATCATAGGTATGTATGTATAGGAAAAAACTTGGCATATACAGGGTTCAGTACTATCTACAACTTCAGGCATCCACTGGGGGGTCCTGGAATGTATCCTTGTAAATAAGGGGCGATTACCGTAAACGTTTTTGTTTTATAGGGCAGTTTTGTTTTATAGGGCAGAACTATCTTAATCCATAACGTGTGGTTCATTATGTTACCTCCTAAACAGAGGGGGTAGTTCACTTGATGGGTATCAAGTCAATAGACACAGCAAAGTTGGTTATAGCAAAGGGGTTTTTATTACTTGGCACAAGTAAGGAGCACACTGGGGACAGTCCCAAAGTAGTGTGTCCCTGAACAAGGGGGTTGGGCTGGTTTTATAGTCACAGGGTCATTAGACATGATCTGATAGGATCTTGCAATCTGCCTGGATGCTGCCACGGGGTGAAGCCAGGGCTCAATCTGATTGGATTCTGGATCCTGCCATGCGGTATCTGTTTCTTAATCTAGTCCCCACTCCTCAGTCTGAGCAGCACTTAAGTTCTGCCTATGGTTGCACGCTTGGTTCATCTGGGCATGCTTAGGTTACGTGACCTTCAACCTGGGGGTCCATGGCAACTGAAAAACAACTCACAACTTTGTTACATGAAAGTTGAGCCAGATGGTCTGATGCAGTTACAGTGATAAGCATAAGCATCGATAAATGTAGCAACAATGATAAAAAGTAATATTATGAAGTATCTGACTCATAGTTGAGTCAAAAAGTTAGTTTGCTGCTCTCCTTTACCTAATTTTATCAACATTTTTAGAGTTTGTTGTGCAAAGAAAAGGAGGAGGTTTTTCTAGACCAGTAATCTTCAGATGTTTTTGCTCTTGTCCTCCCTCAAAGGAAACTGAAAAAGTTGCATATGCTCTTGAGTGGGATTTTTCAATATAAATGGAAAGAATAGGAAATTTTTATATCCCATGCATTGTAAATATTAGCATTTAAAACTTTTATTCCTCTTTAAACTGTGCTTAATGGAATCTAAATATAGCAATTAGATACCCAGCATCATCCATTTAAACAAATATACAAACGAGTTTTTAACAGTGAGAAATTTTATTTCATTCCACTTTCTCTTTGTAAACTCTTATTTTCAATCTACTTTCCCTAGAGAATTTTAATGTAATATACTTTTTGCTTAAACGTCTTTGTGGCCGGGCGCGGTGGCTCACGCCTGTAATCCTAGCACTCTGGGAGGCCGAGGCGGGCGGATTGATTGAGCTCAGGAGTTGGAGACTAGCCTGAGCAAGAGCGAGATCCTGTCTCTACTAAAAATAGAAAGAAATTAATTGGACAACTAAAAATATATAGAAAAAATTAGCCAGGCATGGTGGCGCATGCCTGTAGTCCCAACTACTCGGGAGGCTGAGGCAGAAGGATCGCTTGAGCCCAGGAGTCTGAGGTTGCTATGAGCTAGGCTGACGCCACGGCACTCACTCTAGCCAGGGCAAAAAGAGTGAGACTCTGTCTCCAAAAAAAAAAGTCTTTGTGTTAGGGTGGGAACTCACAGTGAGGGATAAGAAAGAATTCTCAATAGAAAGATTAGGATAGAAAGAAGTAAAAAGTTCATTTTACTTTCCTGTGACACAGGAAAGGGCACAGAGCGAAAGAAGGAAAAGAAGAAGTGCTGCCCAAGGATAAGGGGTTTGGGGTTTTTATTGGGATAAAGAGGAAGAAAAAAAGAGTAGTTATTGCTGCCAGCTGGGAAGTGGCTGCGTTTGTTTTTTTTCCATTTTTTTCCCTCTTTTGTGAGGCTGGCTTATCAATCTCCTTGGAATGTAGTCTGGCCCAAACTGGGGGTCCCTCCTGCTCTGTCTATCTGTTCAGTTCTTCTCAAGTGCTGTAAAAAACAAACTCTTAGAGACCACAAGTTAAGCTGCAGGTGGTTAATCTTAAAGAAAATGAGTTAAGCTACAGGTGGTTAATCAAACAAAGGGGCAGTTGTGCAAGGTGAGTTTTTTCTTCAAAGGGGCAATTATGTGCTGTGAGTTTACTCCTCTTTTTTTCTGTTAGTTCATTAGCAATACTGTCCTTTCACTTTTGTTGATCAATAAAATTAAACATTTTTAAATTTTAAAAATTAAAGATTTCTTGTGACACCAAATTCTAGGTCAAATATGACCTAGAATTCAAATATTCATCCTGGATTGAGTGATCATTGTAATTATTTGTACATAATTGATCAAAATAACAAATATATTACAAATTCCTGTGACCATTAAACATAGAGAGTTTAAAAAGTAAAATTTTTAACAGAAATATATCTCTTAATAAGAAGGACGAGCTTTTTTATCCCCTGGTAAATTCATGTATCCATTAATAATTATTATTCCTTCCTAGAATGAGACAGGATTCAGTATCAATGCCATTTCTATTTTTTGTTTTATAGACACAAGCACTGTGGCACCTGCTGGCATAAAAGCACTTGCTGATTGGAATGCTCTTTCCCCAGATCTTCTCCTGTGGGTTTCTTTTCAGTGTTTAGGTCTCAGCTAAGTGTGATCTCCTCAATGAGGTCTTGCCTGGTGATCAGATCAAGAGTGTTCCCTACCCAATCACTCTCCAGCCCTTTACTCAGTTAATTTGCTATCATAGCACTTGTCACTATCTGCAGATACCTTGTTTGGGTACTTTTGTATTATGTGTCTCTGCTATAATATCAGTTCTATGAAGACAGGGACCTTGTCTGTCTTGCTCCTTGTTGACACACAGAAGGCACTGTGATAGAAATGTGTGTTGAAGGAATGAATGATGTTTGTCTGGGATAGCCATACATTCTAACCAACATTTATGGAGCAGCCATTTTGAAAGGAACCATTCTCTCCCTATTATTATTATTAGGCAAAGATACTCCAAGGAAGGCAATGGAGGAGGAATCTCCATGTGAGCAGCGGTGCCTACTGCTGTATCTCGAGATGTGAGTCAGCTGATATTCGGCGGAACAAATAACCCAGGCTCAAAATAACACAAGGATGTACAATTATCGTGCATCAATAAAATTTTTTTCTTAAATAACACAAGGAAAATAAACGCAGAGGTAATGTGCAGCTGGATAATATTTTCAGCCTGGGATCTTGCTGGTGATTTTGAGTTGGTGTGGGTTAGGGGAGAATAGTTGCATTTGTCTGGCTTTGTGCAGGCGTGCCAGACCCCTGCAACATGCAGGACAACCCAGCCCAAAGAATAGTCCCACCCAAAACGCTGAGAGCCCATGTGTGGTCAGTTAACAGTTGATGCAAAAGACTGCTTGCTTAATGTACATACAACACGCGAATTAGCACATGTTAAACTCATTATCAAATAGTTCCTACTCATCAGTGTTTACATGAGAAACAGTTCAGTAAAATTGAAAACTGTGGTGAGTTAACTTTAGAAAGTGCTGGTGGTCATTAATCAAGTAAAAAAAGCTGCATTATTCCACCGGCTCCAGCTGCTCGGCCTTCAGCGAGGGCGGGAGAAAATGGAAATGCAAACCACTTGTTAGCACATGCCCTTAGGGGTAGGAAACAGATCTCAAACAACAGGGCTGTTAAGACTGCACGAGTCAGTGCTCACTGTCCCAGCTCTGCGGGCGTAGAGAATGGCGCTGTGGGCCCGAGACTTTCCACCTAGAGCGGCCCTTCCCGGCCAATGCACCGAGACAGGCTTTGGGATTTCTTTCCAGGTTGGAGGTTAGCTGTTAAAGCGCGCTCCATCCGCGCGAAGCGGCGAGTGCCCGCAATGCCCGGGGGCGGCGCCACCAGCCGAGGCCGCGGGTCGCCGCGCGCAGGAAGGGGCGGAGCGCGGGAGGCGGCGGGAAAGGGCGCCCGGAAGGGGCCCGGCCTCCGCGCCCTCCCGCCCCGCCGCCTGCAGTCTCCGCCGCCAGCCGTGCCCGCCATGCCCGCCTCCGGCTCCGAGCTCCTGTGCCCGCCGTCGCCGTCCCCCGCGCAGAAGCGAGGCGCCGAGCCGCGGCCGCCCCACGGGGAGCTGCAGTACCTGGGGCAGGTCGAGCACATCCTCCGCTGCGGCTCCAGGAAGGACGACCGCACGGGCACCGGCACCCTGTCGGTGTTCGGCATGCAGGCGCGCTACAGCCTGAGAGGTGACCCAGGGCGGGACGCGGCGGGGGGCGCGCCTCAGGGGGCTCCGAGCTGCCGGGAGCTGTGGTGCACGTATAGTCTTAACCTCAGGCCTACGAGGGAGGGCAAGCATCCTCACCCCCACTTTCCTGACGCCGAAACTGAGGCTCGGGTTAGAGGCATGATTTGCATAGGGTCGCACAGGTAGGAGCGACAGCCGGGCGGTGAACCGGGTCCTAATGGCTCCCAGTCGCCCCCAGGTATGCTGTCTCCTGCAAAGCGGGCATGATCCAGTACAGTCGCCCTGTAGTAGACAGTGGGAGAGAGTTGCCTGGGCTTGACCAAGCGCTTGTCTAGAAGTCTGGGCCTTTGCCCCTCCTCTTCCCCTCTCATGTTGACCGTTCTGCTTTGCCAAGTTTTCGAAAACTGGAGCCAAAATGCTGTGGGCGGAGCAGCGGTGGCGGGAGAAAGGAGAGAACTGAGAGGCTAGGGGAGGAACTTGAGTTTCCTAACGGTTCCTCACGAAGCAGCTTTCGTCCTAAACCTTGAAAAGAGGAACGTGAGAATTCGACTAGAAGTTTTTGTTTTTAGACAGAGTCTGGCTCTGCCTCCCAAGCTGGAGTGCAGTGGCATCATCATAGCTCACTGCAACCTTAAACCCAGCTCACGTGATCCTCCTGCCAGAGCCTCCTGAGTAGCTTGGACTACAGGCATGCATCACCACTTCCCGTTAAATTTTTAACTTTTTATAGAGATGGGGTCTTGCTGTGTTGCCCAGGCTATTCTCCAACTGATGGCCTCAGGCGATCTTACTGCCTTGGCTTACCAAAATGCTAGAATTGTAGGCGTGAGCCATCACACCTGGCCTCAAGTAGAAGTTGAAGTTCAGCTTCCTCCTTTCTTGTTTGCTTTTAAAACTGAATGGCCCCAGGCCGGGCACAGTGGCTCACACCTTTGATCCTAGCACTCTGGGAGGCCGAGGCAGGTGGATCATTTGAGCTCAGGAGTTCAAGACCAGCCTGAGCATGACTGAGACTCCCCCCCCCCAGCCCCCGTATCTACTAAAAAAATAGAAAGAAATTAGCTGGACAACTGAAAATATATAGAAAAAATTAGCCGGGCATGGTAGCGCATGCCTTTAGTCCCAGCTACTTGGGAGGCTGAAGCTAGAGGGGAGTTTGAGGTTGCTGTGAGCTAGGCTGACGCCACGGCACTCTAGCCGGGGCAACACAATGAGACTCTGTCTCAAAAAAAAAAAAAAAAAAAAAAAAGAACTGGCCCCAGGGAAGAAGTGTCTCCTGTGGGTTGTTAGCCCTCAGGCTTTCCTGGGACAGAGGGATGGGGTGGGCTGGGCACAGGAATTTAGGCAGCTGATTGCCCTTCCCTGAAGTCAGGCCATCCTGCCATCCTGGATCAAGCCCCTGCTGTGGGGGAGGGACTCCTCACACAGTTGTGGCCAGGGGCTGACATTGATCCCTTTTCCGTAAATGGAGAGCATCCTTGACACACGTGTGAAGAGTTGGTTCTGAGTGGGGAAACTCACTGTTGGTGAAGCAGGTTCACTGTAGTCAGGGGCAAACCCTCCACCCCATCTCCATCGTAGAGACTGAAAAACACAAGCTGCTGTGACTGCTACGCCTTGGACAGCTTGGGGCGTTTCGTCTGAGCAGAGGGGTCCACTTTCCGCGGCTCTAAGCCCAGAGGCCTCTGATGAGTAGCGGAATTAAATTTTAACACGTCCCCTCTGTTTAGACATTGGGCAAGCTACTTTACCTTTCAGATAGCTTCCCTATATGTTAAAAATGGAAATAATGCTCAGTGGGCAATACTGATAAAAGCAGGTCCTTGAAAAATCTCTCTCCGTTACATGAATATCACTAAACAAGCAATAATGTGGACTGAACAGGTGCCACATTTGAAGGTAAGTATTTACACTTTTATTTCTCTATAGCTTGATGCCTCTCCTTTTGTCCCTTAAGCTGTGCAAGCTTCTGTATTGCCTCTGGTGCCTATAAAGTGGACGTCATAATGGCCCCTCAAGGAGGGTTGTTAGGAGGATAAAATAGGAACATGCAGATAAAGTGTTTAAACAGTTGCTATTTTAGCATATTAAAAAAACAGATTGCTTTGCAAATATTTAAAAACTATTCTGTAGTTTTGGCCAGAGTGATATCTACTATCCCCTGGTCCTGAGCAAGTTTTCTCTGGCAGGATCATCATGGAATTAGTCATGAGAGCCTTTGGGCTTTGTCCTGGGGCACATTTCTGGTGCCGTCTTACACCTTTGTGACAGGATTCGGGCTAACTGGGTAGTGGAAGGCAGCTCTTTCCTTTTTTTTTACCTGGTATCTCTGCCCTGCCTACAGGAAGTGTGGACTTCCTGTGTCCAGTGGTCACCAGGGCTCAGGAGGCTGGTCCCAGCCCAAATTGGGTCACTGACTTGGCTTGCAGCCTGGGAGCTCCACCCTGACTCCAGGCACCCACTTAGGAGTGGTAGTTTTCCCGCTGCTCCTGTGGTCACTCTGGGGCCTTATATCTGGGGGCAGTTTTCTTCCACAGAGAAAGTTGGATGGCCTGGTCTATCTTCCTGTCTTTGAACTGAATGGCAAACTATTTTTCAGATGAATTTCCTCTGCTGACAACCAAACGTGTGTTCTGGAAGGGTGTTCTGGAGGAGTTGCTGTGGTTTATCAAGGTAAACAAGTTGCTGCTGTTGGAAGGTGACAGTCTGTTCTCAACACAGTAGCTATAGAGACCCTTTTAGACGTCAGATCATGGCGCCCTCAGCCCATAGTGGCTCCCATTTCACTCAGTAGGAGCCACGGCCCATCTGAGGCCCCTTTTCCAGCTCTGGCCTTAGCTGCTGCTCTCAACCCCTCCTGGCCAACCTTCTCCCCCCCAACATGTAGCATGATTTCCTGATCTTGCTGGCGAGACTTCCTAGACCTCCTCATCTAAGACTGTGTTCTCCCCCCACTTCCTTGGCTTTTCTCCCTAGAGAAACGTTATCATCTGGTGTGTGGTGTCAGCCCTTCGCCTCCACCGTTAGAAGGGGGCAGGAGACAATAAATAAATAAATGAACTGTCTGTAAGCTCCATGGGGGCAGAGAATTTCTTTCTCTTGTTCACTATTGTATCCCCAGGGCCTGGAACGCAGCCCACCTCACAGCAGGACTCAACATATGTCGGTCGATCACTGGATATAGATCCCAACTGGTTTCTCATGTTCATATAAACTAGAAGGGTTTCTTCAGTAACAAAATATGCCTCTTCAAGGGCTAAGTACGTACCTCGGGCAAGGGCCAGAGTGAGGCGATTACAGGCATCCGTCATGGCCGAGCTCTATGTCCTGGTCCAGAATCAATGATGTTCTGTCCAGTGCTGAGGAGACGGGCTCAGTTCCGGGCCATCCTGGAAGTTGTGATCCCTTCTGTAGAGTACTTGGTGTGGTTTGGATGGTCTTGGGCCAAACGAGACCCAAGACTTCTGTTCCATCTTAGGAAGAGATTGGATTTGGATCCAGTCCAGTCTGCCTTAATTCTCTATTTGTAGGGTATTTTTGTTTAGTGCTGGCCTGTCGCAGCTGATAGCGAGCCTCTGGTTCAAAGTGCAGCATCAGAAATCTCAGAAGAGGACGTTCGTAAACTAGCTAGAGCCCAGTTTGAATGGATAGAAAGGGGAGACTTTTGAAGCAATATGTGAAAAGCTGAGAAATGACTTGTTGGAAGTGAAAAAATTAAGACTCAGCAATAGAAAGCAAAGAAGCAAGATGCCAGAAATAAAATACATTCACTAATTTTAACTTAAAGCTTGAATGTGGGATTCTAAGAAGTCCTTACCAGGAACGTCAGATTCACCTCTGATAGCTGGAGCTACTCCAGTGGTGACTGGATCCAGTACAGGAGTCAGGTGCCCGCACTGCAGCGGGGATCTGTGGGCAAGACAAGGGAGGGCCGTGCACTAGCTCGTGTCTCCTCACAGTAATCGTGTGGCGAATACTAATGTGCTCTTTTATAGGTGGAGATAGTGAGGGTAGGGAGTGGGTCAGAGGAGAAGGTAAGTAGAAGGGCCAGGCACCCAGCCCAGGCGGATGTGGCACCAAAGCCTTGCTCGGGCCGGTTACAGCACATCATACCCGGAGGCACCAAAGGCTGATGGGGCCTGTCCTGACCTGGATACAGGTTAGGATGGCAGAGGCCAAATCTGATGGGATGAAACGTAAGAGAAGTAAACGTAAGGCTTTGTACTTGGCAAATAAACCAAAACAAAACAGAACAACTTAACTATAATATGAAGTCTATAGATTGGGGGTAAACACAACTTTATAGTGGCAAATAAACCAATTAGGGTCCAAATTTAATTCAGTGTGACTGATAGATTTGCCAGAAAAGCTAATACTGATTAGTCTGATCATTAGAAATATCCTACATGCCAGGTGTAAGGTACCGTGAACAGATCGCATATGAGGCAGTAAATTCATTTTGGGGTATCACACTTAGGCCCAGAACTCATTTAAGAAACATAAAACTGTCAGATGAGGTGGGCATACAGGACTTGGAGGTGTTTAGTCCAGAAAGTTTAGTTGTGGGGAAAAGAAAAGATTTGAGAGGTGGTTCCCAAGAAAGGATCGGACTGTCCTATAAGCCCTTCGAAGTTCGGGCTGGGACCAGCCTACCTGAAGATAGCATGGGCTCCACATGGTGGTCTGCCTGGCACGTCAGCACAGCTGCTCAGAATTCCCTCCATGCTCTGTGCAACCCATCTCTTCCAGGGATCCACAAACGCTAAAGAACTGTCTTCCAAGGGAGTCAAAATCTGGGACGCCAATGGATCCCGAGACTTTCTGGATGGCCTGGGATTCTCCACCAGAGGAGAAGGGGACTTGGGCCCAGTTTATGGCTTCCAGTGGAGGCATTTTGGGGCAGAATACAAAGATATGGATTCAGGTAAGGAGACAGCGATGTCTCCCATTTCCTGAGTGCCCTTTCTAGTATGAGTCTGCTCCGTTGTTTCAGATGGAGTCTGAGGGGATAGGTCCGCACCATGGGTGCTGATGTTTTACTTTGATGTGAGAGGTTGTGCCAGATAAAGGTGGAGGAGCCACAACTAAACCCTAATTTTTAGGGTTAGGGTTGTGTCACATTCTTGGTGATTAGCATTGATCGGGTCCTTGCTTGGCACTTTCCTTACCTGTGTCATGGGCAGATAGCCGCACGGTTGTGGTGCCTGTCGGGGAGCAGGGCAGGAAGGAAGCTCATCGGTGGGAGAAGATGCCCCGATTGCCTTGTGGCAGCTTCGATCTCCCCTTTGGAGGCTAAGCTGCCGGCACACTGTAGGTGGCGCTGGTGTGGCAGCACGGTGCCTAGGTCCCCCTCCTCCCTTTCTGCTGGGGTGGAAGAATGATGAAACATCTCATTCCACCTTCCTCTATCGCTGTCAGTAGTGCCACTTGCTGAGTGTCACGGAGCCAAGCCCCTGTCCGTAGGAGAAGCAAATGGCCACCTTGCAGGGGGTGTGTGCGTGTGCTCAGGAAATAACAGTTTACTGGCTGGGCAGGAACCAGCAATCAGGCAAGTATCTCATCTCATCTAAAGGGGAGACGGTCACATCTCACCTTCAGCCAGCTGGAGGGATTTGGGCCCCGTGTTAGAAGTTTTCAGTAAAAGCCTAAAGTCTGCATTTTGTGTGCAATCATGAGATCTTTCAACTATAGGAAGTTTTAGTGGGTACAGAATTTCCATAAGGGCTGCTGAAGAGTTCAGGAGATGGATGGTGGTGGTGGTTGCACAACATTGGGAATGTACTTAATGCCACTTAATTGCATGCTTAAGAATGGCTAAAATGGCAAATTTAATGGTACATATGCTGTATCAAAATGAAAAAAGTTATGTGGGCCAAACAATTTCTGCAGGTAAATGTCCCGTAGGTGTTAGTCTGCCCCTGTCTAAGGGCATCCTTCTTAGGATATGAGGCTGCTCCCCTGGCTTAGTGGTGCCTTAACTCCTGCCTGGTGTTCAATTATTTCTTGTTGCTTAAGGGGCCTGATAAAATTATGGCCTTAGTTTGCAGTTGTATAAATGTTCAGCTGTTGGATTGCAGTAGGGGAGTTTGTCTTTTTTGTTTTTTTGTTTTTTTTGTTTTTTTTTTTGAGACAGAGTCTCACTCTGTTGCCTGGAGTAGAGTGCCGTGGCGTCATCCTAGCTCACAGCAACCTCAAACTCCTGGGCTCAAGCGATCCTCCTGCCTCAGCCTCCCGAGTAGCTGGGACTACAGGCATGCACCACCATGCCCGGCTAATTTTTTCTATATATTTTTAGTTGTCCAAATAATTTCTTTCTATTTTTTAGTAGAGACAGGCTCTCGCTCTTGCTCAGGCTGGTCTCTAACTCCTGACCTTGAGCGATCCACCCACCTCGGCCTCCCAGAGTGCTAGGATTACAGGCATGAGCCACTGCGCCCGGCCTGTCTTTTTTGTTTTTAAATTTTTATTTTGAAATAATTGCAGATTTGCAGGGAATTGCAAAAGAAAAAAAAGTGTACCCAGAAGTCCCCTGTACCCTTAACCCAATTTTCCCCCAAAGGTATTATCCTAGGCAATGTCTTGCATAAATTGACACTGGTGTAATCCACAAAGTCATCAGATTTTGCTAGCTTTATGTGCTGTTCGTGTGTGTTTGGAATTTTAGCGTATGTGCAGGTTCATGTAACTACCACCACAATCAAGATGCAGAACTATTGCATCACAGTTCATCTTTTTTAAATCTTTGATACTACGTCTTTTGGAAATGTGATGTGAGAGGACTTTCCTCCAAAAAAAATTTGAGAACTGCTGAACCAGAACATCGTCTGACACCAATAAGTAAAAGTTTAACCAGAGGAGATTATATACTGAAGCTCTGCACTGCAGTTAACAAATCACTTCTCAGCTTCCAGTTCTAGCTCAGAGGGAAGGCAAGGAATTAAAGTCCAGAGACCAGAAATGGGAGAAAAGTACAAGGTGGTGTAATCATTATAGAGGTTTTCTGATGTTTATAAGTCAGTGTTGTGTTTAGCTGCCAAAGTGTGGTGTCGTTTTAGGTGGGAGTGCTGGAAGCACCCTGCGTGGGCCATAGAAGGGAATCCCCCGTCCTGTTAGTCGGAATGTGTGTGGAATGCTTCGGTCTACTTAAGATCCAGTACTCTTGTGAGACAAGGAGAAGGCAGATTGTGCCGTGAAATTGTGATGAGAATGGTTGATGGGCTTAGAGACCGGAGGAACTAAAATTGTCCAAATTGGAAAGAGCAGTGGGGGGAGGGAGGGAGGGAGCGGCTCCATGACAGACACATTTAATGGCTCTCACACAGAAAAGAAAATAGACTTGGTTGTGGCTCCAAAGGATGGACCCAGGAGCTCAGACAGGACCGCGAACTTGACCCAGTGAGATCTGGGAAATTCGCAGAAGGCACTGGCTGTCTTGCAGCCACAGGTCAAGGGAGGATGCTGGGTGAAAGGCTGTAATAGATGACCTCTAAGGCCATCCCATGAGGTGCTGTGATTAATGTGTGTACATGTCCTCTTTTGTGACAATTCTGCAGATTATTCGGGTCAAGGAGTTGACCAACTGCAAAAAGTGATTGATACCATCAAAACCAACCCTGACGACAGAAGAATCATCATGTGTGCTTGGAATCCAAAAGGTTGGAAGGACCTAGTCATCTTCTTCAGCCTAACTGTGTTGTTAGCACACAGGGATTGTGCAGAGTCCCCAGAGGGGGGCAGGACCTCGGGCACTGCCCCTAGCCACACAGTTTTGTGACCTTAGGCAAGTCACACTTTGCCCTATTTTCAACTTTAGATCATGGAGTTGGGCCCAGATGATCTTAATTGGTTATTTATACTCATTGGTGTATTTTTACTCCAAAAAGAGCTTTAAATTGCCTATAAAACTATAGATAAGATTTTAACATTTTAAATTAAATTGGAGCAGATGAAGTTTTAGGTCACTGCAACCTTGCCAATTATGAACATTTTTAACAATTATGTTGTAAAATTCCACTCTACCAGGGTGGTAAGTACCCCGAGTGGAATGTTTGTATCTGTGATAGAGACTTGTAATACAGGAAGTGTGCCTGAAATGCCAGTTTCCTGTGGCCCCTGCAAATGAAATGATTCCTGCTGTATTTGTAGTTCGGGGCCACAAATCCTTCATTTTGGCTCGGATGGGAGAGCGTTATTTCAGCTGTAAACGTACCTCCGCAGAAATCTCGTGCTGACGGACAGTCTCCCTCAGCTCTGTGCCATCAGCTCTGTGCCATCGCTGCGGGGCTGGAGGGAGCAGTCTGCAGAGGTGGGCAGTGAGTGTCCCGACAGCCCAGTGGCTCTCCCATGGTTTCAGAGTTGGCTTCTGCTTCCCTCCTGGTTTACTTTAGCTCTGTTCTCTCAAACGGCCACCTCTCCTCCTTCCCTCCTCTGTGCTGGTTCCTCAGATCTTCCTCTGATGGCGCTGCCTCCGTGTCACGCCCTCTGCCAGTTCTATGTGGTGAACGGTGAGCTGTCCTGCCAGCTGTACCAGCGGTCGGGAGACATGGGCCTGGGCGTGCCGTTCAACATCGCCAGCTACGCCCTGCTCACGTACATGATCGCGCACCTCACCGGTCTAAAGGTGGGCTGCTCGGGAAGGACGGCCGTTGCCAGCCTAAGGCACTCAGCTCTTTGGTTCTTTAACGTGGGAAAACGAGTTATAGAGAATTCAGTCCCTGATTAGTTTTAAAATTGGGTATGTGTGAATGAGACATGAACCAGCTTACTTTGTACCTTCCCGTCCTAGTGGTCTGTGTATACTAACAGGTCTATATGGGTTGTTTGTGATATAACTTATGAACTGCCTTTTCTCAAAAGCTACTGGTTAAATTATTTTTCTGTAAAGCCCTAGGGTGTCTGCATACCCTATATAATATGTCTTTAAATGATGTGTTTTAAAGGAATTGAAACTAAAACATTGACTGTTTTGTGCTCTTCCATGGCGTTTTAGCCAGGTGACTTTGTTCATACTTTGGGAGATGCACATGTTTACCTGAATCACATTGAGCCGCTGAAGATTCAGGTAAGAATTATGCGTTACACTTTTGGGCTTGGTGCCTTCTCTTGATAAAAGGTTGATTTGTGGAACCTCCCTGCGCAACAGGCATCTGCTCGATGTTGTTTCCAAGATAAAGACAACTGCTCCGACACCGGGCCTCAGTTTAGGGAAGATGGTGGGCAGGTGGGCGAGGACAAGGCCGACACCTGTCCCAGCCATCCCAGGCATTTCTCATGCCAGGTGCCGTAAGGTACTAAGCACCAGAGCCAGAGAGGAGCCACATTGGAGCTAGGGGATTTGGGACCATCCCAGAGGTGGCATTTTACCTCGTATGTGTGTCTGCTTTGTGAGCCCTAAGGAAAAAAATTTAGAACGAAATCTATTTAGCCTCTTCCAGATTACATCTGGGTTTTGAAAGTTACTCCTTTGCAGGAGCTTGGCTGCTTTTGAGTGGAGGGTGACGTCAGGCTCATTTGGGTGCTTCTCTCTGGCTGTCTGCTGCAGTCATTTTGGACACAGTAATGGGAGGTTGTGACCTGTGTCCACATCTTAATTGCCACTGTTTGTTCATCCCAGGAATCCTTTTCTGTAAATTGTCAACACATGTCATCTTTCCTTCCCCTGTCTGCCAGGGACAGCTGGGATAGGGATCGTGGAACTCAGGTGACCTTAGTGAGTGCTGAGTTAGAAAAGCAAAAGCCCGTGTTCCCATCTTTAATAAATTTGCCAAGAGTGATTATAAATGTGTACTTACACGTGATAAGCCACCAGGCTCCTGGGGCTGTGTAATGTCATAAAAACCCTTCACACGTGAGAACCAGATGGGTATGGTGCTATGTAAACGGGGACAAGATATTTACAGAATTACACCCCCGTAAGATGGTACTTTGTTGATCAAATACTGTGTATTTGTTTCATGAAGAGACATGAGGAACAGAATTAGAGGTTGTACAAATGAGGGAAAATAATGGTCTTATTTTGTTTTTAGCTTCAGCGAGAACCGAGACCTTTCCCGAAGCTCAAAATCCTTCGAAAAGTTGAGACAATCGATGATTTCAAAGCTGAAGACTTTAAGATTGAAGGTTATAATCCGCATCCAACTATTAAAATGGAAATGGCTGTTTAGAGTGCTTTCAAAGGAGTTTGAAGAGTATTATTAGTCTTTAGAGTTTGCACTGGATGCCCAGGTGAAAGTTCTTTCTGCTCTAAAGGAACTCGATCAAAATCTTTCAGTTATTAACTTTCTAAGGGTATTAACTTCTAAGGACGTTGCTATTCGCAAATATAAATGAGCGATTTCTTTCAGTAATAAAAAGCCGTGGGTTTGGTAAACTCACTGAAGGTATATGAAAATGCTGAGATGATGAAGAAAGAAAGGAGAACAAAGATTTCTGTGCTCTTAAAAAAAAACATGTACATGCATTTTAATCCCATGTCTTCTGAAGACTGGTGAATTTCAAGAATTCTACAAGCTATTTTAAATCTGTGTGAGCTAACACCATCAATCACAGGTAGTGGGAAAGTTAAATTTATTTTATATACTGTTACAATAAAGTGTTCTGCATTTGTCCATTCTGTATTGCCATTTATCTGCTCAGTTCCTCCCTAAAATAGATTTAACCGGACGCTTCTAAGTAAACGTGGTGTATTCTGGTTTGGATATGTTTTAGAAATGCTGACTATACTACATTTTGCTCTATTTTTCTATGACTTATCTCATTCTAGCTACATTTTATCACTAAAACATAATGACCGTTAAGGATAATTTTTAAAGGGTTATAAAAGAGTCTATGAAATAACATTTTGCCCTTTTTAGCATCAGTATGGTGTGAATTCTCTAATATGCTTAAACTGAGCAAAAGACGATGCTAAACCACTTCAGTGTTAATTAGTGAAGTCTTTTTCCCTTCCTTTGTTACATACTGGATAGCCCATGGTGCTGCAGAACTATTTTTATTCTGCTAATTTATGACAAGTATTAAATAGAATAAGGAATTGTTCCAACAAATTATGCAACATGTTGCTTATTTTCAAAGTACAGTTTAATATCTGGGTACCAGGACTTGACAGTAATTTTGTAAGAACATTTTCCTGAGCTTTGGGTTAGTTAAATCTAAATTTGTTTAAGGATTAAATAGGAGACGATGTATTGATTTGCTAAAAGAATCAAGTAATAATGATTACTGAACTGAGACCTGAGGCTAATAGGGCTTTCAGCTGAACTCGATTGGTAGGATATTTTTTTCTTCCATTTTTGTAAAACCATACCCAAGCCTTTTCACTTAGAAAAAGATGTTAGCACTGAACACTTAATTTTTCTGAGCAGCAAGAAGCTTCTTCCAAACTTCACCATCTGGATACTGGTGTTTCTTTACAGATTCCTCCTTCATTTCTGTTGAATAGCCAGCATCCTATCAAAGACAAAAAATTAAGTAGTGCTAATAACCACCTGGAACAAAACCATGTAGTTATGTATTTCTGCTGCTCTAAGAGATGCCTTTAAATCTAAGCCAGAGGCAACTGGATTAATATTTTAAAAGTAAGTTTCCAGGTTGTTTGAAACGGGGTAGAGGGGGCATACTTTATTGGCTGCTTGCCAGGCTTCGTTATCTAAACTCATCCAGCTTCCTTTGATAATAGGGCAACCTTTGTTGGTGAAAATGAGCTCCGATCTCTTGAACATGATCGGGGTAGTGGCCCCATTAACATGATTGTAGTCAAGCCTTGTATTCACTGACTTGCTAGACAGTACCAGGGTTGGGGTTTTTTTTTTTTTTTTGCACAAGGAGTGCATGTTGTAAGGTCTCGCTCGTGAGGAAAGGCTTGCATTAAGAAGCCTTGTCAGAGGCAATGTGACCTCCTAGCCCTGACCTTCATGCCTTAGAATTTTGATATTGAAAAGAGCCATTTGTTTCTAGATACTGGAAAATAAACTCTTAAGGAGTGAAACAAAGCTCTGTGCTCCGTAGTCTGGTTCATGAGAATGGGCACAGCAGTGGCTGGCAGTGTCTCGTCCGCGGGGCCCCCTGAGGCCAGTCTCACCATTGGAGGCATGTAGGAAGCCTGCCGGATCCTCACAGGGTACTTGAAATGTTCGTGCAGGTGGTCGACGTACTCACACATCCTAGGAGGAAAGAGTCGGATTGGGGTGATAATGCCTGAATTGGGGTCACTCCTGTGGTGCTGTTCACGCAGAAGGGGGGAAGACCACGTGAGAAATGGACTTGGTCCAGTCTTGGCTCTGCTACCGTGTGTGTGTTTCTGGCCAGATCCCGGACCCGCTGCCTTAGGTGCTCTTCATCTGTGAACTACAGCAACGTGGGGTTGGGGCTTAGATTAGATGAACCATGAAAGCCCTTTTAACTCTGAAGGTTTTGTGACGCCCTTTAAAAGCATCAATTCAGACTCCACAAATATCTGGGATTATTTGGGTGTCTTTGGCCAAAAGTTAGATAAATAGGTCAAAATCACCAGATGAGGTTCCTTCCAGCTATACAAATGATTGAGATGAAGAGCACAAATTTTAGAATTGGATCAATCTATGTTCAAGTTCTGCATCAGCCACTTTCTAGTTTAGAGGCCTGAGGCAAGTGACCTAACTGCTGCCTGACTTCAGCATCTGTTAATGGCCAGCTGAGACAGGCAGGCTGTGTGCTCGGCACTCACGACACACGGAGGAATGGCAGGAGAGGCCCTCCTGGTTTCAGTGGACGCGGGCACTAAGGCATCAATTGGGATGTGCGCTCTGATCTATCACAGAACAGGTAGGGATGAAGTCCCAGCCACAAGGGAGAGGAGAGCTGGGCCTTGAAAGATCAACAGGGAACCGGCGTTCTATGCAGAGAAGGGCAAAGCAGAGTGCTGAGCTGTGACAGCACGTGCTGTCGGGACCTGGTGCTGCCTTTCCTTGCACAGGGGCACTCCCCAGCAGTGAAGCCGGCACCAGGCACCAGCACCCGCTCTGGGTGTCATGGTGCGCTAAGGCGCGGTGGTGACCCTGTCTCATCCCTTAGGAACTGTAGGACTTTTCAAGGTTGGTGGAAGCTCCCTTTAGTCCTGAAGGCAGGAACTGAAATGAGAGGGGTGTAAAAGCAGGATAACCTCGGAGTGGTAATTTTCTTCATTACAGAATCAGATTATTAATTGGAAGGGAAAAAATAATCCAGTCCCAACCTTTCCCAGATGAATGAGATCATGTAACCAGTGGCAGCATCAGGACTGAGCGGGCCCAGGTTTCCTTCTTTCAATCTAATTTTTTTTTTACAGTATAAAATAGTTCGGGCATATTAAGAGGCAGCAGCTGTCTACTCATAGCCAGCTGAAGAAAGAAACTTAAAATGAAACCCCCTGTGCGCCGTGACGGGTCCCATTTCTCTCTCACAGGCCTGAATTTGCTGTTCCCTTTCCCATGCATCTCCTGCCTTCCCTGCACACTCGTGTGATCTTCCTGCAGTACAGTTAATCCCAGGAGACAGGAACAGCATAACAGCAAAGCCACACGTGTGCAGATGAACAGAAGGAGACTGTCCTCACGTAAAGCCCCCCTGGGCCATGCTGAGAATGTGAAACTAAAAGATGCGCCGGACCACGGACTACTCCAGTGTCAGGAAAAGGAGACTGACTGCACAGAAGGGGAGAATAGACACGATGAAAAAGGAGCTGGTGGAGGGAGAGCCTGGTTGCAAACCTCGCCTTCCATGTGCTTACAAAACAGCCACCAGGAACCTACCCTTCTAGAAGGAAGGGTGACTATTTGCTGGTGTGCCTCTGTTGTCACAGCCCCATGTGGAGAAGTGGAAACCAAACCAATTTGACCTGTGCGTTATAGGACATGCCAGCAGATAGAGTTCTTGGTGCTTCTGGTCACGAAAGCAGAATTCTGAGAGATCTGGCCTGGACTGAGGGACCCTATTGAAGCAGAAAGTAGTAATGCCACATTACTGACCTGTTTTCCAGGCTTGCAGAGACGCATATGTAGTCAAATATAATCAGGTGCTGGACCAGTTCACAGAGGCCAACGCCACCAGCGTGGGGGCAAACAGGAACTAAAAGGAAGGCATTTCTATTTAATGCCAAGAGTAGGGCAAAGACAGGAAGGGGTGAAAGAACCTTCTCGTTTTTCTTATTGCCCACGGGTGATTAAATCACATGTTAATATTTAGGGTGAAAGATCATCAAATATTCCCTGATTAAGGCTAAATGAGAGTTAGAAAAAAATCAAAATGGCAACTGCAGACTCGTGTGAATTGCAAAGACCATCGAGGGAGCCACGGGCGCCTGTCCGATGGGCGGAGAAAGGGAGGTCTGGTCTGCAGCTCTGTGGCGCCCTTACTTTCAAACTTTTTGGCCATCAGTAATACTGAGAGGTTTTCATTGACACTTCCCAGTCTGCAGCTGTCAATCTGGAGGAACTGCAGGGCGTTCGCCTGTAGGAGTTGCTTAAATATCACTCTATTGTGGCACTAGAAATAGAATTAAAAATAAACAGAGTCGTCAGCCGTGGCCTTTAGGCTCTCTAACCCTGGCGGTGCAGCAATTCCACGGCACTCATTATTCTCGGTGGCCTTCGGGAAGCCTAGACTGTGTCTCTTCTTCGTTCTCTCTGGGCATGAGGCGAGCCCTGCTGGTGCGGGCGGGGACCCTGTGCTCACTTTTCTACAAATCCGCTCATGCCACCATGCGAGTCAGGTAAAGTCACACCAGCTGGCCATTTATTAAGGAATAACTGTCACATCCATAGGCAAGAGGGACATGAAGTGGAGCATCAGGATGAAATACAGTGACAGCGATAAGCAGGTGGCTGTCAGATGACAAAACGGAACCATGGCACCGTAGTGCTGCTCCTTTTGCAGGGAAAACAATCTGTCCCTCACGCTGCTCTGCTCGTGGGCTGACTGCAGCAGGTTTTGGCAGCTCTTGTGCTAGTTTATAAGCACAAAAAGTGAACACAATCGTGTATATTCAATTTGAAAGCTGGCTTTCTTACAACCATCTTCTGCCCCCGTGATAGCAACTTTAAATTGCTGCCTTGTCAATTTTGATTAGACACTTTGAAAAAGATACATGACCTTAGTCATATGAACTGGAAAAGAAGCCACAGACTTTTGACTACATCTGACTCCAGACTCTAATGAAGTGCTGTAAAATGACCCATTTTCTAAGATGATAAAAACTTCCCAACTCGGGTGATGGAGCCTAATGTATGACAGTGTCCTCAGTCTGTGGCCAGCACGTACCGACCCCAAGGAGACATCACTTACCTGCTCTCCTGTGGCAACGCCGATTCCTAGCGGGACCAATGCCTACAAAATAGAAGCAGCCTGGCGTCATCTTCCTCAGTTTTGAACTACGACTCCTAACGTTTAACATTTATAGCTGAAGAAGGAAACGTCCCTGCTGTTGAGCCATGTGAAGTTTGAAGACTGGCAGAAGGACATCAGGGGAGACGTGTGTGAGTGCGGGAGGGCTGTGTGTATCCACAGGAAAAGGCAAGCGCTGCTCAGACGCCGCCACCAGCCCCGTCCTGGGCATGGCTCTGCGGATCTACAGTGTCATGGCCTATGCTCCGTCTGGGTCCCTCCCAACGTGAGTGGCCCTCCCCTGCCCAGGCCTCCTTCCTGTGGGCCACCACTCCCTTTATTCCCTTGTCTCCCAGATAAACCTCCTTCAGTGGCTATTCTGGAACGCCTTCTTATCTTTGTCAATTCCAAAACCCTCTCCCTTCCAGCTCAGCGGGTGGCTTCAGATCCTACTCTGCAGGTCCCGCTGAGACCACGGCCCACCTGGAGAGCGCCTCACCTGGTGGGGTGCTGGACTCGCCACCTGGGCACAGCTCTGCTGCTCTCTGTCCTCTCACCCAGCCCTGGAAGCCACCTCACTGCCACCTGGTCTAGCCACCCCCTCCAGCCTCTGCTGGGACTGTGACTCCGCAGTTACTCTCCTCAGGCATCTTTTCGGGCAAGTCACACACGTGCCACCCAGAGCCTCGACCTCCTCATCCGCAGGTCTCAGTTTGAGCAGATGATCTCCAAGGCACCTTCTCACGCTGATATTTAAGTACCCTTGGTGCTTTATCTCAGGAGAGAGAGGGAGAAAAGGAGGAGGGGTGGAGGAAGGGCCATTTGACTTATTCACTCCACCATTTCAAAGCTTATAGCTTTCTGGCACTGACTAGGTACAAATTTTGTTCTTCCTTTTCAGTATTTCCGGAATCTGCTCCATTCGAGCTGCCTTCTCCCTCCATCTGCCCCAGATGACTGGGAAAGCTTCCTGGCTCCCACAGCCTCAGTTTCTTCCCTCCCGTTCCTCATTCCCCACTACACGTTGCTATGATCAAATCTTCTGAAATCCCAGCCGTTGCCACGCCATTCCCTCAGGAGAGAACCTGCCGGGGCTCACTCTGTTCAGGCGCCCCCTCGGAGCCTATGGGCCCCACACTCCGGCCCCTGTGCCAGCCTTCCCGACACCTTGGCGTGCACCTGCATTCTCTCGGGCATCTCCACTGGCCCTGCCGTCTCTGCAGCGGCCTCCCTTCCTCAGATGCCTGCTGGGGGGACGGCCTCCCCCACGTAAGCAAAACCTGGGAGGGCTAAAGCCTGGAAGAGCTTCTGAGGAGACTCTCCTGGTGGACAGAGGTCCGGTCTACTTGGGAGCCTGCTGGCATTCAGCAGGGTGCAGCCACCCTGCAAGGACCCCAGGGAGAAAAGGCAAGTGGGGCTCACTCAAGGTAGAAAGTCTTGTCCACCATCAGAAGGGTTGAGTTCTGTTTAAACAAAGAAGGCTGTGGGTGCTCATGGTTCCTGTCACCTCCCTCACCTGTGGCTCAGCTTTCCTTCAGCGTCAGCTCTGGGCTCCCACCACGGGCCGACCCCATGCCAGCCCACACTGTTCCCCTCCATGGACTTCTTCCCACCACGCTCGCCACTTGGCGCCTGGCGCGGCTGTGAAGTGGAGAGGAGGACGTTCCTTACGCCGGCTTTGGTAGAGTGTCTGACACAGGGTAGATCGTGTGCTGATTTGCTGACAGAAACAGAGACCTGGCCTCTGAGCCCCCGACCTCACACCCGAGTAGGACCCACGAGTTTACGCAGATGTCCCTCCTAGAACCTGGAACTAAGACTCCGCCATCAGAGGTAAGTTTTTAAGATCAACACATGATGGAGGAGAGTACAGTTATGCAAAGGCACTTCAGGAAAAAAAGTGTTCCCAGGCAGGCAGGGCTTGGCTATATGTCGGATGAATAGATAGTCATGCGTCTATTGACGATGGGGGTACGTCGCTAGGGGATTTTGTCGTGCAGACATCACAGTGCACTCACACAAACCCAGTCTGCCGCACGCCCGGGCCGTACGGTGCAGCCTACTGCTCCCAGGCTGCACACGTACGGGGTGTCATGGTACCGAGTACTGTAGGCGATCGTAACACATGGTAAGTATTTGTGTATCTAAACATATTTAAACATAGAAAAGGTAATGCATTGCACTGTGACATTACAACGGCTATGGCGTCACTAGGAGACAGGAATTTTTCCGCTCCATTATAATCTTATGGGACACTGGTGTACAACTCAGTCCTTCACTGACCGAACGTCGTTATGCAGCGCGTGACCGCCCCAACCCAGGTAGCGTGTAGAGGAGAAGGGTTATTTCATGAAAATGCAAAAGGTGCTTCAGAGGCAAATGTTGGCCAGGCCTGTGCCCACGGGGGAAGGATGAGGCTTTAAGACTCAACACGTCTGGGGCCAGAACCAGGTGTAAAGAGCTTAAAGATGGACGTTTCAGCCATCACAGTCTGATGCCATCGCATATTCAAGTCCCATAACCCATCCCTGTCCTGATGTCTCACTCGTCCAGCAGCCTCTGGCTTTCTACGGCTTCTCATGGAGCTTGCTCTGGTCAGAGGATAAAAAATTTAGTAGTGATAGTTCTCTTTATAAATTACCCAACTGGCATTCTGGCCTTGTGGGTCAGCGCTGTAAACCGGAGTAATGGGAGTCTGCCCCTGAGACGCTGAATGTTTCTCAGATGTTCTGACATATCAGGTTCTTTTTAAACCAGAGGGAGGGAGAGACAGCCCTGATTACAGCGCGCTGTCTCCAGGGCTCTCGGGAAACAGACAGGCTGCCTGTCTTCGGGAGGCCTGACCTTGACGTTAGTTAAGCAAACTTTTTCTTCTGAGTCATCCAGAGAAATCTACATTCTTCATTTCATTCTGGGTAAATGAAGTATTTTAGTATCAGTCACATGATTTCTATATTATACAAAGTAAGGGAACTGTATCTATTAACCTTCCAATTGCTAGTAACCTTTCAACTTTTGGCAGCTTACTTTCTCTAAAACAAAGAGTAAAGGCGATGGATAAGCTGAAGCAGATAAAAGAACGCCAGGTCTGTAACTCCCACATTTATCACACATTACAATTTTTTTTTTTTTTTTTTAAGACAGAGTCTTGCTTTGTCACCCAGGGTAGAATGCAGTAGCATCATCGTAGCTCACTGCAACCTCAAACTCCTGGGCTCAAGCGATCCTCCCACCTCAGCCCCCCACTAGCTGGGACTGCAAGCATGCGCCACCACGCCTGGCTAATTTGTTTTTCCTATTTTTGGTAGAGACAGAGTCTCGCTCTTGCTCAGGCTGCTCTCAAACTCCTGAGCTCAGGCAATCCTCCTGCCTCAGCCTCCCGGAGTGCTACGATTACAGGTATGAGCCACCCACACATTACAATTATTTCAGCTATTTCATCAGGAAATGTAAAAGGGAACAAGCAAAAACATTTCAGGATCTGTCACCAACACTCTGGAAAACTAAACCAAAAAAGGCAGCAATTTTTCTACCTTGGAAATGGCAGCATGCCCCAGAATGTCATCGGGAGAGGTTGGCTCCTCAATCCACAACGGCTTGAACTCGGCCAGCTTGGACATCCACTCCACTGCCTCGGGCACATCCCAGCGTTGGTTGGCATCCATCATCTGCAAGGAGAGACCCTTCATGGTGAGGTACGTGGCTCCCAGGGAGAAGGTGCTGTCACTCAGTGCCACCCACTGCTGAGTAAGGCTTCCCTAACATTTCCTCTGCTGAGACCCCACAGGCAGCGCGAACAAAAGGAGACAAAGAGCAGCCTGGGACTTCGGCTACGGATATTGTCTTTTGGAGGAGATGTGAATTGTTTGCAGAGCTGCTGGAATGTGCAGAAGTGCCCTGGGCACCCGAGAAGTGCTCGCTGGCCCTGGGGCTCTGGCCCCATCTGCCTTTAGATGTCACCCAAACACATGTTTGCAGTGTTGGTTCTGTTTGTAGGAACTGTTTTTTATCACATGCTGAATCGTTATGCACAGTCAACCCTAAGTTTGTTTAACAGTCATTTATTGACTACTGCCCACTATGTGTCTGGCACAGTAAGTTACCCAAACTCTACCATTAACGAAGCACCCGCTCCGCTGAGTACCTTATGAATTTTGCCCCATTTGATATTTATAACAACTCCGGGAGGTAGTTCATATTAACCCATTTACAAATGAGAAAACTGACATGCAGAGAAGTTAAATAACTTGCTCAAGAACAAGTCAACAGTGAGTTCGAGTCCAGTCCTCTCTTGTCCCAGGCCCTGGCTCTCTGGATGCTGCTATCCCTCCTAGACGCCAGGTTCTGGCTGTGCTGGCTTAAGAGACAGCCCCCCCACCGCCGACATTATCACATTTGGATCAGACAGACAAAGAGGCGGAAATCTCCACAGAATGTGCTAGGTGGTAAGAGAGCAGTATATTCAGGATAGGTTTTTATCATAAATTATTTGGATGAGGATGACTTCATAAAACAAAAGCAGCATTATTCATGTATAAATAATGGAACTTCTGATCCTAGGTCAAGGACCCCAAACTTCTATTTTAATTTATGAAAACAAGCCTCTAAAACTTCATAAAAATATCTTGTTGTGATTTATGAAAATATTTTACACATAATAAGAACTGTTCTGTAAAAATACAAAGTCAGGAAAGACTGATCCTCACGTGTCTCTCAGCCAGAGTCCCACATGTCTTCAGCGGCGGCTCCCTGACACCCGCCCACCTGAGCTGGGAGGGGAGATGAAATGATTGACATGCCAGGACCCCAATGGGAGGCCAGTTTGCTCAGGTGCACCCAAGTTAGCGAGAAGGGCTGATCCCTAACCCTAGTCTTATTTAACTACTTCTGCAGAATTAAAAAATTTGAAACTATTAGTCCCCTCAGTTTTTCTTTTTTTTAAGAGTTTGCCTACTGCAAGAACATAGAGCTGTACTTCCTCTGACAATAAGTTTTAAAAATCCCAATGTTCTTTAACCCATGCTTGAAAGGAGCTGTATTTTGGGCCTGGACAGAGGCTTCTGGAATATTTCTCAGTGGTGTGGGAGGATATTTACCAAAGTTTTCTCTGGTCCAATCATGTCTCTGATGAGTCGGCATCTCCGCATGTCGTCCTGCACGTCAGCGCCAACCTTCACTTTAAACCTGTGAAATACGTTTGTTTTGGTAGTTTAGCTCCGTGCCCTGCCTTGGCGCACACCTGGATTTTCTGCACAAGTGGCCGTCTCTAATCACAGACACGTGACTGTGTCTTCTTCTTCCTAGTGACTTCTTGCTCTTTTTCTCAATCTTCAGACAAGTCACTGGAAAATAAACCTGTGAACCTTATCTCTTTCCTCAGTGTCGGGGCAGTGACTCTCAACCACCTGCCAACTTGCAGGAACTAGAGACAGTAGTGAGATCTGTAATGCAATTAACTGAGTTTTTGCCGTGCCACGAAAAGGAATTAAGTACAAAAAAGCCACAGTCAGAATTGAAGAGGGAACTGGGGCTGATAAGGGTACCAAGTGAGCCACCCACCCCCGACAGCCTAGTTGATAAAGTGCCTACATTTGCCTAGCCCTTTACAGAGAGGCTGTATGCGAGGAAGGCCACAGGAATGGTCTGTTTCCCATGGTGCAGGGGCCTGAGGCTGGGGAGGGAAAGTGACTTGGTCACACAGCTAAGGAGCAGTAGGGTGCATGCAGCTTGAGCCTCTGTGACACCACCTCTGGCCACTCGCGGAGAGCTCTTTAATCTGTTTTGCCCCCTGCCTCTCGTCCACTGAGTCTGTTGTGCTGCTAACAGGGAAAGCCAAGGCCACTATCACACAGGTGACTTACCTGGTCCAGCCATCCCTCAGCGCTTCCTTGCAGAGCTGCGGGGAGAGGAGCACACCCAACGTCACACACAAGACAGCTCCCCATGGTCTGACCAAGATGTCAGTTGCTTCTGATCTGAGTTTCACAACCATTATGGTCGAAGCATAAACCACAGCAACAACTACATGTTGTTGAAATTAAGAGCAGAAATAGCTTGGCTAATAGAACATAACTCTTTCTACTTATAGGGTGACTTTCTTTCCTCATCTCTGTGGGAACCATTTCTTTAATTGTCACAACATTCCTGGAAGGGGAATGTAGCATTAATATCCCTCTTTTTAAAGCTAGAATATTCTGTGGTTCCTGTAGAACTAATGGATGTAAGAGTAACAAGCGGAAGCCAGCCTTTCTCTCCCCTCCCCCTCCCTCTCTCTCCTCCCATCTCCCCTCTTCCTCTCTCTCCCCCTCTCCTGCTTTCTGAGCTCCAGGTGAGTGCAGCATGGGGAGGAAGAGATCAGCCGTGTGCTGACTGCATGCCCTATGCCCGCCATGGTGCTCTGAGCATCGTGTAACTTACAGCGTTTATCTGAATCCTTAAAACTACCTCAGAAGATAGGAATTACTTCCCCATTTCGCAGTGAGGAAACTGAGGCTCGACACGGTTAAGTGACTTGCACAATGTTACTCAGCTGGCTCTGGCTGGGAGTCAAATCCTAGGCTGTCACCTTCCAGAGCCCAAGGTGGGACTAAGTCACAGAGCTCCCGTGTCTACAAGGTGAACAGCTTTGCTTTTGCTCGTGTAGAAGCACTTTCAGAATGAGGCCTTGGATCCAGAATGATTTAAAAAGGCTAACAAGAGAACATTAAAGCCTGCGTGACATAAGAAGAAATCTATATTTGGTCTCTGCCCCCCACCCCATTTCCTGGCACACAGCCCCTAAAACCCTTGGCATCTCCTGAGTGATCAGTGTCTTTTGTACGAGAATGAGATGACCCTCCTGAAGGCCCCTCGGTGGCTTCAAGATGGGGGCTGGTCACCAGAAAGACCAAGCCATGACTGCAGGTTGGAAATTTTAGCTCCATCCCCAGACCTCCGGTGGGAAGGGGAGAGGGGGCGAAGGCTGAGCTGACCACGAGTAGCCATGATTTAATCAGCTGTGCCTACATCAGGAAGCACCCATAACAACCCAAGGCTTCGGGGCTGGTGAGCACGTGGAGGGTGCTGGGAGGGCGGCGTACCTGGAGGGGATGTGAAAGCTCCGCACCCCTCCCCATGCATCGCCCTACGTCTCTTCTATTCGGCTGTTCCTAAGTTGTATCCTTTATAACAAACGGGTAAACACACGTAAAGTGTTTCCCTGAGGTCTGTGAGCTACGCTAGCCAATGACTGAACTCCAAGGAGGGGGTGTGGGGACCTCCAGTCTACAGCCGCTTGGTCAGAAGCACAGGTCACCGCCTTGCGACTGGTGCCTGACAAGGAGCAGTCCTGGGGGACTGAGCCCCTAACCTGTGGGTTCTGATGCTAGCTCCAGGCAGACAGTGTCAGAATTGAGAACAACAGGACACCCAGGTGGTGTCCACAGAAAATTGGAGAATTAGCTGTGTGGGAAAAAACCACACGTATCTGGTGTCATCAGTGAAGTGCTGAGAGTAGAGTAGTGCCGTGAGTACAGAAGGGAAAACTGTCTTCTCCATATTCAGCCTCTCCACAAAACCAGGTCCAAATGCCCACCTGCTTCAGCGTGTCGTCTGAGTACCCCAGCCAGGCACACGACGTCGTGTAGGCAGGGTAGCCGCGTGTCAGCATGTGCTCCTCTGTGAAAACACAACACTCGTCGACACTTGCACTTTCCGGGGACCTTCGGGATTAGAACTGCCTGCAGCTAAGCTGCTGCCCGGAGAACCCAGCTGTTCTCCTGACATGCGCCCAGCCGCCAGCCCAGCCCCGACCACACTCACAGTCATGGAAATTCTGAGGTTGTCAAACCCGGGTGACTAGGACACCCTCTCGACTGTCCCGCTCCCCTAGGGCCCTCCTGGATCCTACAGCGTAACCCTAAAGCCAAACTTCCTGTCGCAGTGGCTGAAGCAAACTCTGCAGTCAGACGTCACACCCAGGACACTTCGTCCTACAACCCGAATGTCTGTCTGAGGGCCCCGGCTGCCCGGCACAGGGCATTGGGGAGGACAATGTGCACCCCCCAGGACAGGGACACTCAAACGTGGATGATGTTAGCAAAACGAGGAAGAACATTTTCTCACAACCCACCTCTTTCTTTTTTACCAACTTGACCTTTCTGCAGTATTTCTGGAAAAGATAAAAAGCATCACCCTTTAGACAACAAAGCCCGCCATTACTATGTGCACACAGCAGGACAGACCAGAAAGCTCCCAGTTCCGTCGCTTAAGCACAACTCACCGCACGCATCCTCCTCAGTTAGGACGTCGGTGAGGTACCGGAAATCTATGCAGGATACCAGCGTCCTGGGGTCCTGGCAGTGCGACGGGAGGGGAAAGTCCTCAGTCAGTTCAGAGGCTGATTATGTTTCTGAGAAGCTGCTGACCCTGCTACATGGGGCTCACCCTTTCCTGGAGGGGCCTTTGGGACTGTG